ACATTTAGCTCAACAGGCTGCAGGTATAGCTTTGACAGGTTCTCTAGAGCAGTGGTTCTCAACCTGTGGGTCGGGACCCCATTTGGGGTCGAACGACCATTTCACGGGGGTTGCAAAACAATGCAGTCCGCCATTTTCCCCCCTTTTCCTTAGTTGTGCTACTCCCTTTTATTCTATTGGCTTTTCTGCCCTGCTGAGCCCGCCAAAAGTCCCATTCTGCAAATGGTGCTGCACCAGTTGAGTAGTCCTCGACTTACAACCGGCTGAATAGTCCTCGACGTACGACCTGTTGGGGGTCACGGCATTAAAAAGGTTGAGAACCACTGCTCTAGAGGCAGCCATTTCTTGCAAACTTCCAGCCAGTAGTTCCGTAGTATTCAGACTTTGGGCCTTGACTGAAAATAAAAGTCTGCCAATTGTAACTTTTCTCCGTGTTCCTGGGCTCTGGGTTCAACTGGTCCAAGGGCATAGAAATTTGCAGTAACTTATTATGGAATAACATTGAGGGTGGAGTACAAGCTCCTGCAAACAAGATAGGATTACATTAACTAAGTAAACCCATGTAAATAAAGCCTTATTAAATAAATGCAACTACATTCTTGTATAAGTAAATCTTCACCTTTTATACAGTTTAGCCTATTCCAAACCTTTTGTCAGTCTCTAATAATCACTATATCACTGTTTTAGCCATTGAGATCTATCAGATTTGCTAGTGAAACTAACATGGGTAACGTCTTAAATGATGCACCTGGATAGATGACCTATCAAATACAAGAATAGGATCTATAAGCATTCTTAAAATCAGATTCATCCAATGAAAACTCTTTCAAAGGAGTGTTTCTCTTGAACCATGTCATTTTATTCATTTAAAGTTCATTTTAAAAGGATTAAAAATTGGGAGGTTTTCCCTGGATACTTCAATTAGGGTTAGGATTACCACTCCAACAGAAACTGAGACTTGATATAAAAGAAAGAACACTGCAAAGCACAATTAGAATTCAGCACTCCAAGATGGCCCCAGTTTGGAAGGCATTAGGAACAGTTAGATGTATTCATAGAAAAGTCTATGAGATCATGATGGCTATAAAAAATTGACAGAGAATTAGCCACAAGGAGACTGCTTGTAGTTTTTCCATATACACTTTATAGCCTGTTGACTTAGCCTAGATCAGGATAGGCAACCTTGGCTCTTTTATCACTTGTGGACTTCAACTCCCAGAATTCCTGAGCCAGCCTACCCCTGGGCCCTAGGTGATTCATTTTTACCATCACTATACAGATGTGGGACAAGAGAGCAGATATAGCATCAAAGTTTAGAGGCTCCAAAGCTGCCTTCTCAAAAAATCTATTTCAGGTTAAGAAGTGTGAATATCTAGCAGGCTTTGGAAACGCACAAGACCAAGTGGTCCTCGACTTACAGCCACAATTGAGCCCAACATTTGTTCCTAAGCAAGAAAGTTGTTAATTAAGTTTTGTCCCATATTCTTCTCATTAACACTGTATATTCAAAATGTTACTTCCAATTCACAGTGCTAAAAAAAAGATCAGCACTAACATCAGCACAATCCTGGTAACTGCTAAGATGTTCTTGAGAAATACTGACATATTCTTGATTCACAAAAGTCACATGGACACTTCTAAAATGAAGAAACAATATACTTTCAAGAACCAAAATGAAGGCGGGGGAGCAGGGAAAGGATGGCTTCTCTAAGCTTGGCACTGCTTGGATGAATAGCCAAAATCATGAATTTACTAATTAACTGGCATAGAAATAAATTGGCTTTTAATTTGTTAGAGCTGTACAGAAATATTTTTTTTCCCCAATTCATAACTTCTTAGCAATACTTTGGAACTCCTGACCCAGTCAATATATGAAATCCAAGTTATTTCTGCTTTAGAAAAGAATCAATGAAATCAATGGAAATTCATCCAAAGGCTTTGTCCCTAAATAAACTACATCCAAAAGGGTTTCTCCTTGAATAAACTACCTTTATGAGGGTAAATAAACTTGTTAATTCAAAGTCATAGATGCTGAAGAATAATGGTGAAAAATACCATAGGAGTCAAGATCGTTGATACCAAGGCTATACAGTCTCATGCATTTTTAAGCTGGAAATAAACTATACTGCCTTTCTTTTGAAGAGTTGCTATCTCATTCATTGAATCTCTTCATTTTATTTATATGGGCTTTGGTCTTCAGCAGGAAATTCATACATCCTGCTATCCGAAACATATATTCAAGAGTAATCCCAATTAAACTGAATGGAACTTCCAAATAAGCATGTAGGGAATGTGGCACATGTGCTTAAGTTCTATGTAAATTAATGAAACAAATACAAAATTGAGTATTATTAAGTCCTATTGAAAAATGCATTTTTCTATGCAACAGATCTCTCTCAGTATATAAAGTAGGAAGGGATGGACAGAGTCCAGAAAATAAATATATGAGTGAGTTCCAACTTCTTCTATTTGTGTCACAAGCCCCATCCAGCTAAAGCCAAGCATCTGTGAAAGAAGCTTCTGTCAGCATATTCCGAGCTCCATTAGGTAACTCTACGCACATTCCTGAATCTGGAAAACTCTTTCAGTTGGGTTTGTGCACAGCCAGCCTTGCTTAGGTGATCCATGGGAATGTCTATGAGTTTTTGGGAAGAGGTAAGGCAGGGATGTCAAATTGCCAGCCCATGGGCTAGATGCATCACGACAAAACCGCGTCCACGCATCATGTGTCGTTGCGAGTTTGACACTGAGCTAAGAGATCAACAGAACAGAGGAAGACAACTGGAACTGTTTTCCTACTTGAGACCTTCTCGCTGGGTTTTCTTTCAGGGGAATCTTCTCTTTAGTATTCCCACTGCCTCAGCAAACCACAGGTGTTATTACCTATGAGTCCAGAGCAGCTGAAGAGAGCATGGCATATGTGATCAAGAACGGTATCTATTCTATGCATTTTCAGTTCCTTCCCATCTATACTGCTTCACCGCCAAGATTTTGTTTTATTTGTATCCCGCCTTTATTATTTTTACAAATAATTTAAGGCGGGGAACATATCCAAGATCCCTCCCTCCCACTAATTAAATTAGTGTCACACAGTAATGTTAAAAATTACATTGTAAATGGATGTAGGTTGCTAAAAAGTGTAAGATCATCTCTGTATGAAGAGGAGTGCCATTCTCTTAGGACAGGCCTTAGAAAGTGCAGGCATCTCATCCATGTAAGTCATTTTGCTTGTTCATGCTCAGAATCCAAGAAATTAAGGCTAATATAGGAATAGCTGGATTTCTATTCCAATTCAATCTCCACTACAGATACTCTGGGTGTCACTTATGTCAAAGTAGATTTTTAAGCACACCTCAGTTTGCAGCACACACATTCTGTATGTCACACTCCACTGTCAAAACGTGCAACCACCAGCCGAACGAACTTAGCTAAAATATGCAATCTTAGGAGTTCTCCTGGAGTCACTTCTATGACTCTACTTACCAATCACAGTAAATTTGTACTTGCTTACCAGTGTTGCTTACAACTCATTTGCACTATACTGAGATGAACTGGGTGTGTTAGTTCAGAAAAGTTAGTCTATAAACCTAAAGTGAAGGTAGCTGATTTCATCCCCCATTCCTTTAACTGAAGTCAGTTAAATTGAAGCCTTGACTTATCTTCACATCTTTCAAGGCCATCAGCCTCCAATATATTCTGTGCAAACTGCGTTCAATGTCCTTTATGTCTACACAATTAAGAAATCTAAACTTGAAGCCTCTTTGAAATAAGTTACAAAGTTAATTGGGATTTTAAGATGATCTTACGCTAATATTATCTATATTGTTGTCCTCCTTGTGCTCTCCAAAGAATCCCAGCCACCTGGAAACTTCTACACTCCATAAGCACAATTTTGTATCAGAAATTCTTCTCCAGATGTTGACTCAGTTACTTGTTGAAAATCAATTAATCCTACTGATTCATGTCTCAGCATGAAAATAAAGTCATTAAAATCTTTTCACTGAAGCCAGTAGACTGAAAAGTATTTCATCGCTTGACACCTCTCAGTGATCTTTTTTCCCTCTGCCCTGAAGCCCACTCCTCTCTTCCTAGTTATTCTCAGAAATCACACCCATTTAACATCCAAGTACAGGTAATCCTCGACTTACAACCACAACCAAGCCCAAAATTTATATTGCTAAGCAAGACATTTTTGCCTCATTTTATAACTTTTCTTGCCACCGTTATTAAGTGAATCATTGCAGCTGTTAATTTTGTAACCCGGTTACAAACTTAAGTGACTTTGGCTGGTCAGAAGTTTGCAAAAGGTGACCCGCATGGCTCCAGGTCATGCAACAGCCATAAATGTAAACCAGTTGCTTAAGCATCCCAAATTTTGATCATGTAACCCATGAGAATGCCGCAAGATGGTAAGTTATGAAAAACAGTCATAACTCACTTTTTTTTCAGTGCCATTGTAACTTCGACTTAACTGTTGTAAGTCGAGGACTAGCTGTGTAAAAACTAGAGTCGGTAGCCTGTATCGATCTTGTAATAACGTTATTTTCTCCATTTGTCAATGATACTTTCAAAGGACAGTATTCACAGCAAAGCCCCTAATAAAGTCGTTAATTAATTAACCACCGCCTGACGAACGGGGAAGTCTGCTCGTCTGCCTCTGAGTCTCGATTAAAGGAGGAGGCGGTAAGAGAAACCCCTCCGGGACAAGCTTCCCGGGGAGGGGAGTGTCTGACGCGAAGCCTTTTGCAGCGAAAGCCCCGGGGCGCGTCTCCCGAGGCTACCTTAAAATATGGGTCTCTAGAGGGCAACTTAACGCCAGAAATAAAATGTGAGAGAAAAGGCTTTTGAGGTGCCACGAGTCTCTTCATTGTTTCAATTTAGGGTCAGGAAGGTTGGAAAAAGAAAAGGCGCGCTGCCCCCCTGAAAGAACGTGCCTGCTTACGGCGCCGGGACGGAAAAAGGTGACGGGGACGAGGCTCCGAGGTAAATGTTTAACTTACCCGGGTTCAGGCTACTCTGGAAGTAGAAGATGACCAGGAGCAAGGAGCCCAAGCAAGTGGCCAAGACCATGCGGTGCACCCTGCTTCTTCTCATCTTCGCCCCTGCGCCGCATTCCCCCAGCCCGGGATCAGAGCTTGGAAGTTCAGCGAAATCGCGAGGATTGGCGCCAGCGACTCATGGCCAGGCTTGTCCGGCTCCGCTCCGAGCGGCTGGCAGCAGAGCTCTGCCGCTTCCACCTCCTCTGGCTCGCAAGCCCGAAGCTCCCCTGGGCCAAGCGGGGGGGGGGGGAGAGACCTCTTCACAGGATAGGACCGTACTAAGTAAGCGGGCCGGGGAGTGAGGATCGAAGAGCAAGGAGAAGATGCTTTCCTTGGTCAGGCTCTTCCCTTTGGTGTCACCCCCTCTGTACATATATATGTATATATATGTATGCCTGATGTCTTCGAGTGGTTAGGCGGGGGGAAACGGAGAAAAGTTTATAACAGCGACCGTCCGGGAAAACGGAAAGGCGGCCCCCCCTCCGTCTGCCTGTCCCGTGGATCAGTCCGAGTAAAGAAAGAAGTCACAATACGCAGGCAAAGGCACACCGGGTTGTATATACCGTTTTGCTTTTTAGGTTGTGTGTTTGGGGAAGCGTTTGGAAGCCCGGTTTCAATTTTTGTTCTTTTTAACGCGGGAATCCAGACTCCGGGAGGACTAGACCGTTCCTGAGCATGCAAAGAGTTTCCTTTAAAGGCAACTGAAAAGCTACGCGTTTGGTAATTAGTTTGGGAAAATAATCTTATCCCTAGGAAAGAATTGCACCGCTGTCTTAGAGATGCTTGGAGTTTCCCGGGCCAGCATTTGAGAGATGCCAGTTCTCTTAGCCCTGGGCAGCTCAGTCCATGGACTGTCATGTCCCAGAAGTGCCTTTTCTGTTATAAAGTAACGGGGTATCAGGCCCTGCTGCCTATGGAGTTATTAAGCCTGACGGCCCTTGAGACTCGTTGTTCTCAGCCTTGTTGGGTGGTGGTCCCCAGATTTTCAGAAAAGACTAGAGACTTCCCAAATCCTATATAGAGATCCTTAGAATAGAATCTGAGATAATTTACGTGCCATAAACTGTAGAGTAGACCCTGGAAGTTGAGGGTTTTTTCCCCTCTCTTTAGAACGATTCACAACAGAGGGCAGCACTTATCAATCCTTGGCTAATCTTGTGGGTGGGGAGTTAATGTAGTACTTGGATGGGAAACCACTAGGAAATCCTACAGCTAGAGGCAAAACTGGGGAAATGAAAATTCTGGGAAGGGCAGAGACAAACCAACTTGGAGTATTGTTAAAAAAAAAAAAAAGATGGATGAGTTCATGTACCGGGAGTTATTAAGAGAACATCTCAGAATAGCAGACCTTAGCTGTGGGCCTTTGTAACCCTTTTGACAAGAGACCTCTGAGGAATATCAAGGTTGTAGACTAGGAGTCAACTTCAGTTTGAGAATATCTTTAATTTTTAAATATATGTAACCCATTTTCAGTGCAGTCACCTTGCTTTTATAATTCTTCAGACAAACACCTCTCACTTCCTATTAATAAAGCAGGCAGAAACATACTCTGATATACAGTCTTAATTCCCATCCTACACACAACAGTCTCTGCATCTTTTTAACCTGTTACTAGTGATAAAATCCCAATCCAAAAGGTTTTTGCCTGACAGCAAATATACTTGCACATACAGGTTCTGCAAACCTTTATTAACAACTCTGTTACATGAATATTGTACAGATATATCATGTAGAATTCATCCAAGAAATTCAAATAAGTGGCCAGATCTCTCTCATGGGCACAAAAAGAACAAGAGCCAACCTTACTGAACGTAAGGACAATACCACAAATGCCATTTTATCCTCAAACAAATCCCAAGATCTCTACTGAAGAAACTAATTGCCAACCTACATGCTTCTCTATGGCAAACTGAGAGAGACCTGCAGTCCAGTAAATCACTAACAGGTGCTAACATGCTAACAAACCATTCATCATGATAGTTACTCTTATTGGTAGGGGGAAAGAGAAATAGGAAGCTAATTGTGTTAAAAAAAACTATTTGGATTAGCTAAAAACATTCTGAGAAAGTTGACTGTCTCAAGGTTGACTTAGCCTTCCATCCTTCCGAGGTTGGTAAAATGAGGACCCAAGTTGTTTGGGGGCAATATGCTGACTCTATAAATCGCTCAGAGAATGCTATAATCAGTGGTATATGAGTCTAAGTGTTATTACTGTTTGAACAGCATGATCCTCTGCTGCATACAAAGAAATAATCTTGCTGCATTTTCTCTCCAAGCTTTAGGTGTCTTGCTTTATACTAATTTTTGGAGGCTGAATTTGCCATGAACTTCAGGGAAGGTATTTATTTAAACTTGCTTTTATAATTCTCTCCATTTCCCCAATCACATCTCAGTTTAAATTGGAAACAGTAGATATGAAACAGAGATGAAAATCTCTACCATACTTTTTTCTCTGATTGGACCGCAGTACTGAAAAGGTCACTGTTACTTCTGGGAAGGAGAGTTGAAACAATATTCTAAATGGGGGAGGAGGGGGAGATTTCAACCTTGACGACTTTAAAATTTGTGGACTTCAACTCCCAGAATTCTCCACCTAGCATGAAGTTGGGTCCACAGGTTTTAAAGTTGCCCTATTCCTAAAACATTCTACACTAAACATTCGATTTCACAAAAGGGGTCTGTAATACAGAATTTTATTTCTGTGCAAAATGATGAGGTTTTGCACATGGGTATTGTAGACCATGAATAACATCCTAAAGATAATTTTGTGCATGCACAAACACATACCATATATTTTTAAGATTTGATCCATTCCTAAACTGAGAAATCATGCAGACTAGATAAGCCTGAGAAATAAAATTCCTTTGTTTGAATGAAAAGGTATGGCTTCAGTAGCCCCCCAGAGCTTTATTTATTAAGATATTTGAAAAGAAAAACTTTGACCCTTTTTTTGCAATGACTTTATTTAGCATTATTTTCTTTTCATGAGAGTCAGCTCTCAAAGCATCTTTCTGAAATAAATGTGCTCATGGTAATCCCATTTACATTCTTCTCCCTGTTCTATCAAGCGAGTCTTCTCTACATTTTCATTCAAAGATGAGAATGGTTATTGTTGAAACCAAAGCCCTTGTAAACCCATTACATTCATGTATATTGATGAATTTAAGTCTTGGGCCTAATACCCATTTCATTGTGGGGTACAAGGATAACTAAAATATATATACCCATTAAATCAAATATTAAAACGAACAAGCAAAAGAGGAAAGCAAATATTTTAATAAGATACAATCGGGCAATAATAAAAACCAGAAAAACAATTGAAAGAAATCACAGAAAAATAGCTAGGAAAAGAAGACGATTAGCTGGGTTCAAAGGCTCTGTAAATGTTTCTTCTTCTTCCATTGCTTTCTGAGTTAAAGGAGATAAACATGCTGCTCCTATTAACCATATTGCTGGGCATTTGCCAATCCCTGCTCTAAAAGACGATGCAGCACATTGATTCAATTATCAGTGAACAAAGAAGTTTCCCTGTGACTTCTTTCCCTGAATTCTAACCTGATTTTGTTGATTCCTCTCTAACTTTCATTTCTACAAGCAGCTTAGTTTCCTTCTGCCACTGTCTTCCATGTATGGTAAACGCAATTTCCTTTTTCTCCTCCTTTACTCTCTCTGGATGCTTAGGATTAATATACCATGTCAGTTCAGTGGTGGGATTCAGCCGGTTCTCACCACTTCTGCAGAACCGGTAGCTAATTTTTTGTTACCCAGGCCCAGAATGGACTTCCGGAAGCAGCATCCACATCGAGAATTAGTTGTTCACATATTTGAATCCCACCACTGAGTTCAATAGATGGAAAGAGCAGCTAAACTATTTTCTCAGAGTCAGGGATGCTTCTCCATATCTCTGAAGTTTTGTGCACTTGTAACATAAATACGTGTGCAAGGAATATAAATCCTTCCACTCCCCACCATCTAGCCAGAGCTGAAGAAGCTTCTTGGATGAGAAGTGAAAGGTCTTCAAAGAAAAACAAGAAAGTCCAGTTGCCTCTTGAAAAAGCACCTTTGGGACATGGTGGAACAGCCATGAAAGATAAGGGGATATTCCTGGTATGAAGCACTTTATTTTGTTTTCTGCTGGTATGTAAACAAAACAAAAGTCTGGAAAACATATTCTTTATCTTTAGTTTAAAATACACTTTGTGAGCTTTTTTTTTTTTTTTTGAATGCCATCTAGTAACCTTTACCACCACTCTCCCAGTGTCTCTTTCCCACTTCCCAGATTATAAAAAGTCCAGAGATTGGAGGGCCTGTATAGGACTGAAAATATAAACACTCAAATTCTTCCTTCCTTTTTGAATTCTTTCTGAAGAGAAAAGTGTAAATTTTCACCCGGACAGTTACAAGTTCACACTGATACCCCGTGTTAGTCAGCTGTTATTACAACTGCTCTCAGACTTGTGATTTTACTTCATTTACATTCCAGTGAGTACATGGTAAGGGATCCTTGATGCAGACAAAAACGCACTAAAGATTTTACTTTTACATATGTTTCTTTTAAAGAGGAACATTTGAGGAATGGAATGGGATGCAACTAGTGCATAAAATGAAATCTGTGCTCACGGACAGCTTTTTATTTTGTGAGTGTTCCATCCCAATGCATAATGAGTTTTCCATCAGTTTCAGAACCTTAATACACAAAATGACTGTAGGCAAGACTGTACAGTACCCCAAGGACATTGACCTCTACTCCCACTGCCAACCAACTGTGTATTGAAAAGAACAGGTAAATAGGTTAGAGATAAGTAAGGAAATGTTTGCAAGATTGGAAAACAGTAGGATAGGATTCCTGACAGCATTTAAATTTTTGAAATTGTATAGGAGAAATGCCTAATTTCCTACAATTAAAGCTTTAAGATGGTATAGCAAAAACACAAAGCAGCTCTGGCACAAGAATGCCAAGATCTTTCATAGCTTATAACTCCATTGCAGACCCTTTTGCACAGAAGTGGGTTTGTTCTGCTCTCGATCCCTCTCAACGTATTTCTCCTTTCCCCTCTAGGATTAAAAAAAAGTCTTCAACCATGACTTGAGGAAACCACTAACCTATTAGTTTGCCTCCTTTATTTCTTGCTCCACTAAGCGTTGGGTTCAAAGGGTGATGGGAAATTGCTTTATTGTTTGCTGTACACTTAGCTGTGGCTATTGGTTTGTGAAGGAATTTTGACTATTCAGACAAACCAAAACTAAATGGATTCAATACCATTGGGGCATTTTCAAAAGGGCCAACGGCTAAGTGAAGCTGGATGCGGTATCTCCAGCTACTAAAATTTATACGTTTTCTTCAGAGATTTTGTTTAATTAAACTAAGATCTGTAAGTGAATGGATGCGCACAGCAGCAAATTAAAAATTATGTAGCAAAAGCTATGCTTATAAATATGTGAAGCTGGTCTGAATGTGATGCTGAGTACATAATCCTGGTTTGAAAATGAGGTGAGAATGCTGTGTGGCAAAATAGGGGAATTCAGGGATGATAACCTCTTCTGAATTAGATCAAATTGTTTACATTCATTTTTTAATGTTAATAAATACGTTTTTTAATTCATGAGATATGAGGCACAGCACATGCTAGGTAACATCCATAGAATACCTTTTTATTAATATCAATTGAAAATTGCCCCAAATACATGTAGATCACAGTTAGACCACCTATCTCATGTGGCAACACTCTGGGAAGCTCATGTCAACAGCAATAACGTAAAAGAATAACATAAAAGAAAAAACAAAAACCAACATTCAAACAACAACTCATGGTATCCTAAAACAGCCTGCCCAATACATTAAAAAAATCACAGTCAATGGGCTCCAGCCTCAGACTATCCTAATAATTGTGGGGAAAGCCACTTCCCTTCCAGAAAGCTTCAAAATCACTACCATGTACTATGTGCTACAGTAATCTGATTGTGAATTGACTAGGACTTGTGTCCCTGTCTAAAGGGCCTGCTAGTTTAGGGCCTCCCAGTCCAAGTGATCTGGCACAATATGGGTGGTGGTGGGGCAAACAGGCAAAGCTGTTCAGTCTTCGTGATTCAGCCTAAGTCTATTCCTTCTCATCCAGAGCTATGTAGCCTTGAGATGCTGGTTTAGGACTTCTACTGCAGCATTTAGCCTGCCAAGGTTTGAGATATACAATATCTTGATGATACCTGACGCCAAACTAGTGGATTATTTCACTCACTGATTTAATGTTGATGTTAAACAGAAAGGAGGAGTGTTGAAATAAGTGAGGGACCATGGGTGCAAACACTCCCCTCAACACCAGTGTCAACACCTATTGAAACCAGCCACAGTGAAAGGAGAACCATCCTAAAATAATACTCCCTACTCTCAACAGGCAAAATTGATCTGAAAGGATGGCAACAAAAACAATTGAGAGATTAGGGAATACAAAGAGAGATGTACTATAATCTTCTCAACTTTACTACAAGTCATCCAGGACCACAGCTGATCCTTTCTTCATCCTGAACCCTGACTTGAAATCCAACTGAAATGAATCTGAATCATTTGTCTTATTTGCAATCCTCTGGAGCTGAAGTCTAATCATTCTCTCTACCACCTTCCCTAAAAAGGTAGGCTGGAGATTGGATCGTTGTTGCCCATGACTTAATTCAAAGATTTGCTTTTCTGTAGCAAATTTCTAGACACAACTTGGTTAGCTGTTTTTTTTAATCATCATTACTGCAGATAAGAATAAACTCATTCACACAGAAGATGTGTCTATGTAGCAATCCAAAAGTACAGATAGGTTGATGACCAAGAGTTTAAATTTTAAGAGTTCTCCTCCCATCTTTCAGAATCAATGGATATTTGGTCATTCTGTTCAAGTCTAAGGAGGCAGCTGGCTTATATTGAAATGAAAATTGTCTTAGGTGAGGTCATGTGCGTGTTTATTTTGTTCTGGCTTGTTGGAATGAGTAGAGTACTTCTTTGATTTTAAAATTATTGAGCTTATGTTGTGGTTCATACTAATGTTGTTATGTGTTTCCAGCCTCCAAACATTATTGCTGCTTTCAAAGAAGGCTCCGAGTATTGTAAAAAAGAACTCAAGGGCCCAATCCAAGATATGGAGAGACCACATTTACTGATTATACTAGAACAGTGATGGTGAACCTTTTAGAGACCGAGTGCCCAAAAACTGGCCCCGCTCCACTCCATCCCCTGCCCTGCCCCTGCTCTGCCCCCACCCCGCCTGCCCGCAGGGCCACTCACCACCTCCAGGGCCCATCACAGATCGCCCAGCAGCGGCCATGGTGGCCACGCCCTCTGCCCACACCCCACAGCATCAACTATGCATGATGGGGCATGAGGGCAGAGTTTTGTCTACTCTGTCTGGCTGCCATGTCCTTGGCTGCACTGCTCCACGTGGGCCACGCTCATGGGCGACTCTCCTCCAGGGAGGCTGCTGGTGAGGAGGGGTTGTGGGGGAGGCAAGGCTGGGACAATGGCACATGTGCCCGCAGAGAGGGCTTCGAGTGCTGCCTCTGGCACCCGTGCCATAGGTTCGCCCCACTGTACTAGAAGAATTCTGAAAACTGGAGTTTAGAAAGCAACTAAAAGACAAAATATTACAAAAGGAGAAAGAGAAACATTGGCCAAAGAGTAATTTTAAATGCATCATTTATTGGTTTAGCAAAATTACAAAACTGGGTATGGTCTTATTTAAGGTTTGGCTACCAACTCACATCTCTTGAATTAAAGTGCAATAAGACATTTTAAAGACATAGGTTCCAATGCATTGATAAGAGGGTAAGAAATCTGTATATGCAGGCTTCAGCAGTTTGTGAGCTGTCTCAATTTTAAAGTGACTCCCGTTTCAGGATTCACTAAGCCTAATCTTAACCCCAGCATCTCACTTAGTAGTAACTAAAACTAGTTATTAATTAATCCTCAAGGAAGATTGGACTGTAAATGAACAGATCACCAGTTTACCAAAAACATGTTGATACGGCTACAGAAACACCACAGAGAGTTAATCCTGTCTTTGCAGGTATGAGAAAGTGCAGTACACACCATATCGGAAAAAGAAAAAAAACTGAATATTTTGATCTGCTGTTACTCCTTCAAAAACTACGTCACTGAAAAAATATTCATGTAAGAATAGATTAAAAGGTGCAAAAAATACAACGTAAAAGAATTCACACTACACAATGAAATGTGGAGGTTCAGATATTGGTGTTATTGCATGGCAAATCAAACCTGGCTAATTTGTTCAAATACTATAAAGGGAGAAGGCACTGTTAGATTGGTTTGGGGGGAAATGCATGAAGAGTGTGCTTTTACCTACGCATTATTACCTAGTGAAGATATGCAAGAAGTAAAGATGTTGAAAATGGCTTATTGGCTACACCGAAGCTGGTGAAAGAAATGGGTAAGACTACTTGGGTTCCTGCATATCTCAGAAGAGAGAACGAAGAACCCTTTCTCTCTGCGCAGGGAAACGGGCACTGAGCAGCCTGCTTTCCAGTGAACTCATAACAGGAGCTGAAGGTGATGAATTTGGGTCGTTCACTAAGATGTATCTCCTGAAGAGTGGAAGAAAGAAAATCAGTCAACGGCCTTATTAATTATATTGAAATATTAATTAAACATTCAATAATTTTTAGAGTGAAGTCCCCACCATGGATTCATGTTCTTAACTACAGTGAACTGACTAGAACTTCAAAAGTTAACAAAGTAAACAGTTCCTGATTCAAGTAAAATTACAAACATCAAAAGTGTTTCAAGTTTTATAAGACAGTATAACCATTTTTTGCTACCTTCAAGGAAATGGAACGGTAGAGTAGCTGGATGTAAAAAAAAAAATCAAAATTGTTGGGTTACTTCTTCACCAATTGGAAGTTTTGAGATGGGCCTCGGTGTAAGTGTAAGAAGACAACAAAAGACAACAGAACTTGTGCTTCTTTAGTTCCTTAGATAAATGTTGCTTTTCATTCTCATGTGTCACACATAATTTCATCTTGATTTATGCTCAATTAGCATTACAAAAGTACTAAAAGTGAAAACCAGGGATCATTGAAATGCCTTATTGTTTTACTGCTGATAGTCTGTTCTTCAGGAACAAAACCTACAAGCCGTCTTTGTATTTTGATTTCAGGCCACCCATGGACCATAAATCCTGGTCTTTATTTTCTTTAAGAATTAGTATTTTGGTATCCTCTCTTTTTTAAAAGGACAGAAGTTCAATTCTAGTTCAATGCTTGTTTTTCCTTCTATTGATTTTCATATTTTTACTATTGCCATGCTCAATTTTCTAATAGAAGAAATAGTAAATCTGTTAACCTAGTGAATATGCAGTTGTTTTTAAATGTTTGAGATGTCTTTATTACATTAGTGATATCTGAAAATTCTGCACATCCATGGAAATATAGCACAATATACTAGAGCAGTGGTTCTCAACCTTTCTAATGCCGTGACCCCATAATACAGTTCCCCATGTTGTGGTGACCCCCAAGTGGGTGTGGCCACCAATAAGAGGGAGTAGGACAGCTAGGGAAAAGGGGAAAAAATGGTGGACAGTGTGGTTTGGCGACCCCCGTGAAATGGTCATTCGACCCCAAATGGGGTCCCGACCCACAGGTTGAGAACCACTGTACTAGAGGTAAACCTTCCATATTATGCAGTAGTAAGGATAAAATCTATGATGTTTCATTTTTTATTCTTTACTCTGGAGCCATTGATGCATCTGTGAAATCAAAAGATTGCCCAAATATCTCTAGATCCTATTTGCTAGCAATGTGAAACTAGCATCAGGTTTGGCATTTTTATCAAGGCAAGAAGTCTACATTATAGAGAATCAACTCTACTCTTTTGACTGTATAAAAACAAAAACCCTGATTATTGTGGGAAAGTGTTATAAAAATGGATAATATCTATCTGTTCAGTTCAGCTTTAAAATGTTTAGTTTTAGTAGCAATAAAACAGCATTCTTCTAAAACTGGGCTGTTCTGTAAATATTTTCCCTTTTACTTAAAAATCTATGAAGCCTTGAAAATGCATTGAAAGACCAAACTGAAAAAAATATTTTGTCTCCATGTGAAAATGTAATGCTGACACAATTAACTCCGCTGCTAACAAAGAAGTGTTGGTATCATAGTGATTGTTATCTATGAGATATACCCTTTGTCCGGAATTGATCTGGTTGGTTGCAAAGTTCTTTCTTGAATCACTTTGCTTGTTCCTTGTTCCTTTCTGAATTTCAGCTTGGGATGATAAAGTTTTATGTTCAGATCTTGAGTGGTTGGCGTCCCCCAGGCCAGTCTATGAATATAACAAATTACACTGAATTAAATATATATTATTTAAGGACAAAAAAAATCATGTCAATTTAATACAATGTCAGAATATTCTGACACTATCTAGTGTCAGAATATTTTGCATTCCTATGTCCACTTCCATAGGGACATATGTCCAAACAGACATGATTAGGATAAGGCTTTCAACATGCATTTTGTCTTTTGTAGGATATTTCCAGATATTCCAAAGAAGGCTTACTAGTTGCCATTCTTTGTTTCTAGTTTATTACAGAGCCAGATACCCATCACCTTCCCTTTACAATTATGTATTTACAAACCTCTTCCACCTTTTTCATAACCCCAAAACTTGATTAAAATGAGCATGTTGGAAATGTGAATCCTAACCATTTGGCACCTTGTGAGCTATTGAGCACAAAGGGCAATTGGGTATCTATAGAGATTTATTCTGTGTCCCTCTTCATCTCTCTGCCTACTTTTTGCTAATTTCAGATCATTTCCTTTTGGTTTTCTTCTCAGGCACACACAACACACACAGAGCACATATAATAATAATAATAATAATAATAATAATAATAATAATATACTTATTATAAGGATACTTGGGTATCCTTCAAGCTGACAACATCAAGCACACTGAAGTCAAGAAAAAGATTAGAGGTGAATACATCAAGAGAGTGAAGATCTTAAAATCCAAACTCAATGGAGGAAATACCATAAAGGCAATCAACACCTGGGCAATCCCAGTCATTAGGTACACAGCTGGAATAGTGGACTGGACTCAAGCAGAACTAAAAGCAATGGATAGGCAGACCAGAAAAATAATGACAATGAATCATGCCCTTCATCCACGCAGTGACATTGATAGACTTTATCTACCAAGGCAAATAGGTGGGCGTGGAATGCTACAAGTACATCAGATGGTTGAAGAAGAAAAAATGGCTTTGGAAGAATATCTGAAGAACAATGATGAAGATGCACTGAAATTAGTATATCAGGAAGGCTTACTAACTACTGGAGAGACCAAACTGGCCTACAAGAAAGACCAAATGAAGAACAGAATAGAGGCATGGGAAGACAAAGCACTACATGGCCAATACATGAAAAAAATAGCTGGGAAAGCAGATAATAATAAAACCTGGCAATGGCTAAGAGCAGGAAAATTGAAGAAAGAGACCGAGGGACTAATTCTGGCTGCACAAGACCAAGCCTTAAGGACAAATGCATACAAAGTCAAAATTGAGAAGACAGCAACAGACAGTAAGTGCCGCCTATGCAAAGAAGCTGAAGAAACAGTGGACCACTTGGTAAGCTGTTGCAAGAAGATTGCACAGACTGATTACAAGCAGCGGCATGACAAAGTAGCAACAATGGTGCATTGGAAGATCTGCAAAAAATATCATTTGCCTGTAAGCAAAAACTGGTGGGATCATAAAATAGAGAAAGTCATAGAAAATGATAAAATTAAACTGCTCTGGGACTTCAGAATTCAAACAGACAAGCACCTGCAACATAACACCCCAGACTTAACAATTGTCGATAAGAAAGACAAAAAAGTCTGGATAGTGGACGTGGCAGTGCCTGGAGACAGCAGAATAGAAGAGAAAGAACTGGAGAAGATAACAAAATACAAAGACCTACAAATAGAAATAGAAAGACTGTGGCAAAAGCAAGCAAGGGTAGTACCAATAGTCATAGGCTCCTTGGGTGCAATCCCAAAACAACTGGAGCACCACTTGAACACCATTGGCATTGACAAATTTGCTATTAGTCAATTGCAAAAGGCGGCCTTATTAGGAACTGCTTCCATCCTGCGACGATACCTGTAATACCATCAAACATCCACATCTGCCTATCCTAGGTCCTGGGTAAGGACTCGATAGGTAGACAAAATGCCAAATCCAGTCTGAACATCTGGCTGACTGTGCGATGAATGATAATAATAGAATCGCTGCTCAACACTGTCCGTATATATAGCCAAGATACTGCTATGGAGTTTGGCTTGGACAAATGTGCCACACTTACTATCAAACAAGGAAAAGTAGTGAAAACTGAAGGAATCAAGATGCCCCATGAAAATAACATTAAGAGTCTGGATGAGGAAGATTACTACAAATACTTGGGTATCCTTCAAGCTGACAACATCAAGCACACTGAAGTCAAGAAAAAGATTAGAGGTGAATACATCAAGAGAGTGAAGAAGATCTTAAAATCCAAACTCAATGGAGGAAATACCATAAAGGCAATCAACACCTGGGCAATCCCAGTCATTAGGTACACAGCTGGAATAGTGGACTGGACTCAAGCAGAACTAAAAGCAATGGATAGGCAGACCAGAAAAATAATGACAATGAATCATGCCCTTCATCCACGCAGTGACATTGACAGACTTTATCTACCAAGGCAAATAGGTGGGCGTGGAATGCTACAAGTACATCAGATGGTTGAAGAAGAAAAAATGGCTTTGGAAGAATATCTGAAGAACAATGATGAAGATGCACTGAAATTAGTATATCAGGAAGGCTTACTGACTACTGGAGAGACCAAACTGGCCTACAAGAAAGACCAAATGAAGAACAGAATAGAGGCATGGGAAGACAAAGCACTACATGGCCAATACATGAAAAAAATAGCTGGGAAAGCAGATAATAATAAAACCTGGCAATGGCTAAGAGCAGGAAAATTGAAGAAAGAGACCGAGGGACTAATTCTGGCTGCACAAGACCAAGCCTTAAGGACAAATGCATACAAAGTCAAAATTGAGAAGACAGCAACAGACAGTAAGTGCCGCCTATGCAAAGAAGCTGAAGAAACAGTGGACCACTTGGTAAGCTGTTGCAAGAAGATTGCACAGACTGATTACAAGCAGCGGCATGACAAAGTAGCAACAATGGTGCATTGGAAGATCTGCAAAAAATATCATTTGCCTGTAAGCAAAAACTGGTGGGATCATAAAATAGAGAAAGTCATAGAAAATGATAAAATTAAACTGCTCTGGGACTTCAGAATTCAAACAGACAAGCACCTGCAACATAACACCCCAGACTTAACAATTGTCGATAAGAAAGACAAAAAAGTCTGGATAGTGGACGTGGCAGTGCCTGGAGACAGCAGAATAGAAGAGAAAGAACTGGAGAAGATAACAAAATACAAAGACCTACAAATAGAAATAGAAAGACTGTGGCAAAAGCAAGCAAGGGTAGTACCAATAGTAATAGGCTCCTTGGGTGCAGTCCCAAAACAACTGGAGCACCACTTGAACACCATTGGCATTGACAAATTCGCTATTAGTCAATTGCAAAAGGCAGCCTTACTAGGAACTGCTTCCATCCTGCGACGATATCTGTAATACCATCAAACATCCACATCTGCCTATCCCAGGTCCTGGGTAAGGACTCGATAGGTAGACAAAATGCCAAATCCAATCTGAACATCTGGCTGACTGTGCGATGATCCATAATAGTTGGAAGGGACCTTGGAGGTCATTGAGTCCAACCCCCTGCTCAGGCAGGAAACCCTACACCATTTTGGACAAATGGCTGTCCAGTCTCTTAAAAATTTCTTAAAAGCTCCACTGCTTCTGGAGGCAGGTTGTTCCATTGTTTAATTGTTCTAACTGTCAGGAAGTTTCTATTTAGTTCTAGATTGCTTCTCTCCTTGATTAGTTTCCATCCGTTGCTTTTTGTCCTGCCTTCAGGCGCTTTGGAAAATAGCTTGACTCCCTCTTCTTTGGGGCAGCCCCTGAGATATTGGAACACTGCTATCATATCCCCCCTCGTCCTTCTCTTCATTAAACTAGACATACCCAATTCCAGCAACCGTTCCTTATATGTTTTAGCCTTCAGTCCCCTGATTATCTTTGTTGCTCTTCTCTGTACTCTTTCTAGAGTCTTAGCATCTTTTTTACATTGTGGTGATCAAAACTGGATGCAGTATTCCAAGTGTGGCCTTACCATGGCATTGTAAAGAGGTATTAATACTTCATGTGATCTTGATTCTATCCCTGTTAATGTGGCCCAGCACTGTGTTGGCTTTTTTGGCAGCTGCAGCACACTGCTGGCTCATATTTAAGTGATTGTCCACTAAGACTCCGAGATCCTCTCACAGTTACTACTATTGAGCAAGGTACCCCTATACTATACTTGTACATTTGGTTTTTCTTGCCTAAATGTAGAATCTTCCTTTTTCATTTTGTTAGATAGTGCCCAGTGTTCAAGTCTGTCCAGGTCCTCCTGTATCTTAAGCCTGTCTTCTGGAGTGTTGACTATTCCTGCCAGCTATTCCTTGGGATTCTTACATGCTAAGATGCAGTTAACTAAGTGCTGGGCTTTGTCTATCTTTGTAATGTTTTTCCTTGTTAAAAATGTCCTTTGTGTTAGAATTATAAAGCCTGCTTTGCTAAGTCTCAGGAGAGATTCCTGCTCTTAGGAACACTCATACTACCACAGAGAATGTGTCTGCCTGTGATGGGAAGTATCTCTGTTGTAATCTGTTTCTTTAAACCTGGGTTAATATACATATAATAGAATAACCAATTTGACAGGGTTCAGAACTGTTTAAGAAACTTAAAACTTCACAAAATTGCATACAGTGAGGATGGTTCTTGCTTCTTTTCCAGCTTCCCAAAAGAAAAAAAACATTTCAAAACAATTAAATAAGCATTTCAGCAATGCAGTACTACGGAAAATAGCAGCATAAACAGGAATCAATAATAAAAATAGGATAGAAGTGTGCTTCTCATGTTTATTAGAGCCAGGGATACAAGAAGCTATTAACTAAATAATACAGAGCACAATTATTTATAAAGAAAAAGCCTCCCCCAATCTTAGTTTCATTATAAGAGAAGTTTTTAAAAGAATTCCTTTTCAAACAGAACAACCCCTTTTCTCTTTCACTTTTCTCTTTTTTTTCTTGGTGAATTCTAGAAGGATTTCTATGTTATCTAACTGGATAGTAAATGATACAGTATCCCCTGCAGTTGTTTAAAGTAGGATAAAAATCCCCTCAAATCCTGGAAATTTACTCAAAGACAAATTTACCCAAAAAGAAGGTTGAAAAGGCAAAATAAAATTTAAAAGTTGAGTACTGCACTATACCTGGAATAACTGCATTTACTCTAGTTTCAGGTGGATGAAATCTTGATGTGAACAAGAGCAAAATATTTTAAACTACAGTACACTAAAAGGAATTCTTTTAATAAACAAATTGACATTTTTAAAATAATGTATTGATCTACCTGTAAGGAAAGTCCCTAGGAAGGTTAATGGTACTTTCTTCCATCACGGTATATGGGCGTCTTTGATATTGTTTGAAAGGCTTCATCAGAGCAAAAAATGAATCAGATACAATCTTGGAATATTCTAAACTTTGATCTGGGCAACCAGGAATAAAGAGAGATATAAATGTTTAGGAATGTTATATTTAATTTATTAAATTTACATTCTTAGTTTAAAATTGATCTTATGGTCAAAAAACTTTCTAAGTGATGGTTTCCCTTAGTTATAAGATTGTTTTCATGTAAAGCATAATTTCTGATATCAGACTATATGCATTGATACAACAGAGCAGTCTTATGCTTACCTACTCACAACCAAGGCTGAGTTCAGTGAGAATTGTTCCCACTGAATGATAAGGAAGAATAAGATAGCAATTTAAGATAAGACAATGCTTATATTTACCTACTTTGATAATGATAACCTTGTTATGGCATATTCTCCTGTGAGAAGACATACTTAACTTTGAACAATCATTTTGCTATCAGGCACAAACATATTCAGCATTTTTTATTTGTATAAGTGATTCTTAATAGTATACTGCTTTTATTAACTCTTCTTTTTATAGGTTAATTGATTTAATAAATTGCTGATTTTGTACATTTGACACTGGAAAAAAGTTTCATTAATTTGTGCAATATGTGGATGAAAATGAATAAATGCACTTACTATTTATACCCTATTACAGGGGTGTCAAACTCAATTTCACTGAGGACCGCATCAGCATTGTGGTTGCCCTGGGGGGGATGGGTGGGTGTGGCCAGAGTGGGTGCAGCCTACTGGGTGGGCATGGATAGAGTGGGTGTGGCCTTCTGGGTGGGCATGCCAGTTCTACATCATTCACGTCAAGGGTGCCTGTAGGGGCCTGGGCAGGAATGGGACAGATCTGAGGGTCTCTCGCAGAAGGGGGTAGGACTGGGGCAAGGCATGGTCCACCGGGGCAAATGTCAAATGGCCAGCACAAAATTGTACATTGGCTCCCAGCTGGCCTTGGCCAGGGCCAAGGCAGCGGGGGCCGTTCCCTCACTGTTTCCAGGATGGCTTTGTGGGCCGCATGAAACCACTTCGCGGGCCACATCCGGCCCCCGGACCTTGTGTTTGACATGTCTGCCCTATTGTATTCAAGACTGGAAAGTCACCATAGCACAGCATATTCAGAATTAAAGATGAAATTTCTGTGGAATCATTAAAAATATATTTTTATTTCACCTTTATTATTTTTATAAATATTCCAATGTGGCAAACATACTCAATACTCCTTTCTCCTCCTATTTTCCCCACAACAACAACAACATTGTGAGGTAAGTTGGGCTAAGAGAGAGTGAATGACCCAAGGTTAACCAGCTTCATGCCTGCTGCCATAACCAGTAGACCAGGGGTCTTCAATTTGGCAACTTTAAGATTTGTGGACTTCAACTTCCAGAATTCCTCAGCCAGCCCTGGCTGGCTGAGGAATTCTGGGAGTTGAAGTCCACAAGTCTTAAAGTTGCCAAGTTTGAAAACCCCTGCACTAGACCAAACTGGCTTTTGCATTCACAGCCATTCTATCTTACTAGCACTGAACCTAAAGGTAGTTATCCCTATCTAGACCCTAAGTGTCCCAGACATCAAGAGAGCATCCTAACCACATATCCTGTTTGGCCCACAATTGAGACATGAAACTGATTATTATACACTGTATACTGATGATATCTGATTGTGTAGCAATTGATGACTTCCTTCTATAGCTTCATGTTCATGTTAAATAGGAAGAGAGAAACTGTCCAATGTTGTAGAACCCCTCAATAGAGGACCATGATCCTTCTTTTTCCCCATCACTACCAACTGGAATCACACATTCAAGATGGTGGAAATGCACTGAAAAACAATGTCTCCCACTCTCAATACTTGCAGCGAGTCTACAACAAAACTATGATTAATGTTATTGAAGATGGTGAAAGATCAAGCAAGACCAATTATGATCAGTGTGGGATTGATTCCATATCCCAAGTGAAAATTATCCAGAGGTTTGTAAGTTTTAATATCTACATCATGGATATCTATTTTTATAGAAAAGTAGAAAAGCTAACAAACTACGTTAACATGCATTAATTCAATCAATCTTAAAGAGGCAAGGTGGTGAATTATGCAGTTTTAGACTATATTTGACAGATCATAAGAAGTCATACTATAATAGGTCTCATCTATGCTAGATGAATTGACCTCAAAAATAACACAGCCATAAATATACACCTATTGACAAAGCTATTCTGTTAATAGAGAAAATTTTTGGACCCAGTTTAAAGATGACAGACAAAAGAACTACATGAGGAAACAGTACATATTTGTCTAGCATTTCACCTAAACTAGGTACCAGGTGCAACAGAATGTTCTATGGCTAGGCATTTGTTGCCTGAAAACACCACATTTAAATAATACATAATAGTGCAGAATCTGAAATCTTGGAGAAGAATTAGCTTGTCTTCCTGTAAAAAATATACCAGTTACAAAATATTCCGACTGGCATATAATCATCTTCATGTTGGAAACGTTAATTAGATTTCTCGGACAAATTATAAAGGCATATGTTAAAGGTAGGCTATCTACTATTTTGCTCATGTTTAAATATATTTGTAGCCTAAACTTATAAATTTGTTAATTAACATAGGAAGTCTATTTAGGGAGTCAGAGGTTCAAATTATATGCATATTTAAAAATCTAAATGTTATCACTGAAATAACATAGACAGCTCTTTTATGGTATATTGTGGCATAACTAAAATTATAGCAGGGAAGAAGTATCTATTTTAGTTGGAAAATATATTCCACTGATGTCATCTGCTGTGCTGGTATGGAAAGGGTGTATACTGGGCTTTAAGTGGCCAGTAATTACATAGAATAGAAGAAACGCTTGAATTGCTTGCCTCAACCTAGTTGGCATTTAGAGCAGAAGCTATCCGCAAATAAATTAAGGTTAAGAGCATGCTGACACTTAATGGGTCATAACTTCTAATTTTGATTGTTTTTATGTGGCCTAGCATTAAGCAACAAGAAAAATTGAGAGTTGAACTTTGAAAAAAATATTCCGGTCCTTTCAATTCAAATTTGGTTGGTGTTGTTCATCTTTTAGCATCACCTCTGTTTTAAGGCTATTAGAAACTTAATTCATAATTTCCACTTTCTGTTGATTATGCCTTAAACTCATACTGATCATTATAAATAGTTTTACTAAGAAAATAATGATGCTAAGTCAACACTAGGAAAAAGAGAGGAGCCATTCCTTTTGGTACAATTTTGCATTTAAACATAGATTATCTTTCAACCTGAGCTCAATTCTGGTGAGCTAAACACATGATGCAATTCACTTGGCAAAGGAGTGGAAAAGATTTTTCTCATCTTTTTCCAGAATGTTTATTTTTTTTATGCCCAGTCTAACCCTTTAACCCAGTCTAACCCTGCTATGCTAATTAAATAATCAACCTTACATTGCTGAGAGTTGTTAGGTGTGAAACAGTGTCTGTGAGAAGACAATTTTTTTTCAAATTCTTGTGTCAAACTTTGTTCCTCCACTTGCTGAATCCGTTCATTTTCCTTCCTCAAGAACACCACTCTAAACAAAAGGCAAGATATAAATAGCTCTGAATTTTAACTATATACCTCTAGACTGTCATTCATTTATGATTTCTGATCCTACAAATGGGCTACTAAGATTGATTATGAACTTTGCTACTAAATGCAAACCTTTTAGTAATCAATATTAGGAATTAGATCTTTTTTTTTTAATTTACTTTCACTGCCATTTAACAAAAAGGCCTTGAAATATAACTTTCAGTAACAAGGGTACTGTAATGATGAGTATACATTTTGGAGATCATGACTGTCAATAGCCATTCTCTTCCCAAAAAACTGTACACAACTCATTACTGCTACACTGCGGTAAAGGACACATGAAATCTTGAAGAAACATTACCTCCACATTACTGCCAAGTAGTACCTCTGTTCACAAGGACAATCTATAGGAAGTAACGGGTGCCTAGAAATCCCAGTTTCAAGAACCCATAAGGGCCTTCATGCATTTCGTCATTTCCAAGGTATTTGTAGGCCATAGAGTGACTTTGGGGATGGGTGGGAGCACTGAATTATTCTCTCATCAGAAGTGAAGGTCTGACCACGAGGACTTCCTGGAGCCAGCAGCTCACCATGTAAGATATTGTACAAACAAAGCACAGTGGCTACAAATGGATCTACCGTGTATTCAATTTACTTTTGTATTGTTTTATAAAATGATTTTATTACTTGACTTTTTTTAAAAAAATAAGCAAGAAATATAAAATTAATGATATTGTTTTGTAACATAGTTTTTAAATAATGAAGAAAACAGCTTATGCTATTTTGGCAATGTGAAAATATTTATTTTAATATGTAAATGCTATTTATAAGGGCTGATCCCAGATATGCTCACATGTTGTAAAGCTGTGCATACACACATTCCTCATCTAAACCACAAAAACTCAGTTAAAAAGTTGAGGATACACAATATTAAGTTCTCCCAAAATAATAATATTAGTTTTAACTGCTATAAAACTCCAGGTTTGCAACAAGTCCTGTACGAGCTTGCTATCTTGGAAAGCTTTGCTTTAACTAAGCTCTGGTTTAACAGGAGCTCTTGGGGTAAGTGCCTTTGTACAATTTGTACAATTATTTGACACACGTCTCATGTCAAAAATTAGAAGCAATATTCGATATGACATTGGCAGCTTATATTTATAGTTATTATTAGCTTGACTAGCTATTATTGGGTTGTGAATTCATTCTTTAATGTGCTGTATATTTCAATGAGCAACAACAAAGCTAGTGGAGGTGACAGTATTCCAGCAGTATTCAAAATCTTAAAAGAAGATGCAGTAAAAGTGCTACACTCAATTTGCCAGCAAATTTGGAAAACTCAACAGTGGCCACAGGATTGGAAAAGGTCAGTTTACATTCCAATTCCAAAGAAAGGCAATGCCAAAGAATGTTCAAACTATCGCACCATTGCAATCATTTCACATGCTAGTAAAGTTATGCTTAAAATCCTACAAGCTAGACTCCAGCAGTATGTGGATCGAGAACTACCAGAAGTACAGGCAGGATTTCGAAGAGGCAGAGGAACTAGAGATCAAATTGCCAACATACGCTGCATCATGGAGAAAGCTAGGGAGTTCCAGAAAAACATCTAATTCTGCTTCATTGACTATGCAAAAGCCTTTGATTGTGTGGATCACAACAAATTGTGGCAAGCTCTTAAAGAGATGGGAGTACCAGACCATCTCATTTGTCTCTTGAGAAACCTATATGCGGGTCAAGAAGCAACAGTGAGAACCGAACACGGAACCACTGATTGGTTCAAAATTGGAAAAGGAATCCGGCAAGGCTGTATACTGTCGCCCTGCCTATTTAACTTATATGCAGAGCACATCATGAGAAAGGCAGGGTTAGATGAATCAAAAGTTGGAATTAAAATTGCCGGGAGAAATATCAACAACCTAAGATATGCAGATGATACCACTCTAATGGCAGAAAGTGAAGAGGAACTAAAGAGCCTCTTGATGCGGGTGAAGAAGGAGAGTGCAAAAGTTGGCTTGAAACTCAACATTAAGAAAACCAAAATCCTGGCATCCGGCCCTCTCAATTCCTGGCAAATAGATGGGGAAGAAATGGAGGTAGTGACAGATTTTATTTTTCTGGGCTCCAAGATCACCTCAGATGGAGACTGCAGCCAAGAAATTAAAAGACGCTTGCTCCTGGGGAGGAAAGCTATGGCAAATCTAGACAGCATTCTAAAAAGCAGAGACATCACCCTGCCCACAAAAGTGCGCATAGTCCAGGCCATGATTTTCCCAGTTGCAATGTATGGCTGTGAAAGTTGGACCATAAGAAAGGCTGAGCGCAAAAGAATTGAGGCCTTTGAACTGTGGTGCTGGAGAAGACTCCTGCGAGTCCCTTTGACTGCAAGGCGTTCAAACCGGTCGGTCCTAGAAGAGATCAACCCCGACTGCTCTTTAGAAGGCCAGATCCTGAAGTTGAAACTCAAGTACTTTGGCCACCTAATGAGAAGGAAGGATTCACTGGAGAAGAGCCTAATGCTGGGAAAGATTGAGAGCAATAGAAGAAGGGGACGACAGAGAATGAGATGGCTGGATGGAGTCACTGAAGCAGTAGGTGTGAATTTAAATGGACTCCAGAAGATGGCAGAGGACAGGAAGACCTGGAGGAATGTTGTCCATGGGGTCGCGATGGGTCGGACACGACTTCGCAATTAACAACAACAACAACAACAATGTTTCAATGTGTAAATCATACTGAACGTATCCTAGAAGAGTAAATCAAATTATTAATAACAGTGATTGTTATTAATGGTACTTTATATGTTTTATAATAAGGGTACCTTATATCTTTTTCCTTAGAGAATTTATAACCTTCATTGTACTGTTGTTCTGTTTTATTTCTTGAAAATGGCCTACAAAGAAAAAAAATACATAATTTTGAACTAGTAGGATCCTAGTCAGGTGAGGGAGATCAAAAAACAAATATGCAATTTATAAAATGGACTGATAAACTATATAAGGAACTTTTTTCTTCAACATGATTTTCCAGTTATAACTTTTTTTTAGAAAAAAAATATATTTTCCTAATTACATTTTAAACTAAAATACTTTAAGTGTATTCATGATTTCATTGGTCTGCAAGTAATTCAGTATTATCATAATATCAATAAGGTGACCAACCGTCCTCCTTTAGGGAGGACAGTCCTCCTTTTGTAAGTTCTGTCCTCCCTCAAAAAGTGTCCTCCTACATGTCCTCCTTTTCGATATTTGAAGACTAATCTGCAGGGCTTTCTCTCTCTCATAGAATGCTCAGAATGGCATTCCGGCACCTTTTTTTGATAGTTTTTTTTTTTTCAACTTTTGCATGAGCTGTGCTACTCCCACTATTGGCTTTCAAAAGCCAATAGGAATTGCTGCTGAGCGCACCAAAACACCTGGCTGGCAAACTTTGCACATGCAAGTTGTCTGTATTATTGTTGCAATGAATAAAATATTTCTTTTATTTATGATATTTTTTTCTTCAATTTATTTGTGTCCTCCTTTTCATTGTAAAAAAGTTGGTCACCTTAATATCGATAATATCTACCACAAAGTAACCGTACGTTTTTCAAAGCTTCCCAAAGAGTACGTCACAAGTGCCAAGAAATATCTGCCACTAATAAGTTCTCAGGCCAATACAATAGCTTTAATATAGTATAAAATACAAGAAAATTGCATTTGTACTGGAATAGCTATAAACTCAAAAGCAACATATGTGACAAAATCATTTCAGAGGCCACTGCAAAAAAAAAAAAAAAGGCAGACCCAGAGCCACCGCACTAAGACACTTGACAGAGGAAAACCAAGAACCAACAATGAGTTTGGCTAGAAAGCCAGTTTCTCCTTTCTAAGGGGACCTAGAAACTTTTTGCCCAGTATGGATTACAGAGAAATTTTATTTAAGCTCTAAATCAAACCTGTATAACTTTGTTAATTTGACATCATAATCACTGGAAATTCAATAAGATTGACAATACACAGGTTGGTGTGTGTGTGGTGGGGGCAGGCCTAGCCCTTGGCTACTGCTCTGTGAGGTACACAGAACCCTTTCTCTACTCCTATTAAAAGTAATCTGGAAGCATCAGGTTAAATATAATCAATATGTTGATGATAACAATTTTACATCTGCATCTTGACAGTCAGAGTGATGCCTTGGAAAGCCTTTCCTCGTGCCTTAAGATTGTGTGATCCTGGGCAGACTTGACTGAACCCTAACAAGACTGAAAGATTATGAGTTTAGTCCCCCCTCCTTTGATATCCAGAGACCTCCCATCATTAACTGTGGCTAAGGTAATCTGAAGGTCTTCCGAGACCCATGGATCTTGAACAGTAGGTAGCAATCACAGCCAGGGGCATTTTGTATAAATCAATGTGTATCAGTTGTGCCTGTTCTTAGACTGGAAAGGACTGCTTAGTTACTCATACCTTAGTCCTGTACATGCAAGACTATTGCAATGTCATCTATTTGGGGCTACACTGAAGCACATTCAGAAGCTTCAGCTAGTCCACAATGTGACAGAACATGAAGGTTTGGCATACCATAGTGTACCCAGGTAATATCACCTCTATGAGAGCTGCATTGATTCCCAGTAGCCTTCTGGGTGCAATTCAAGATGCTGGTTATCACTTAAAGCCCTACATGCCATGGAATCAGGTTACTTGCAAGACTGTATCTGAATATTTCTATCTATTCTACTAGATTCTAACAGTGTGCTCAGGTTTCTTTCTAGGAAGCAATGTCATCTGGTAGGACCCAGGACCCTTTCTCTCTCTTATGGCATTTGCCTTGTGAAACAATTTCCCCCCTGAGATTTGGATGGCCCTAACCTGCTGGTCTTCTGGAAGGCCATGAAGATCTATCTCTTCCCGTTTGTGGAAATAGGATGGTAGTGGAGCCTGTGCTTTTTATGTACTACAGAATTTTTTTTAGGATACCTCAACTAACTTTTAAATCTGGCTTCTGATTGCTCTTTGTGTTTTTATGTTTTTGCTCGTAACCCCAAGTTATATTGGTTAAGATGAGTGGCCATAAAAATGTTAAATAAATACATGTTGAATGAATGAATGATGAATTAATTAATTAATTAATTAATTAATTAATTCAACATGTATTTATTTAATATTTTTATTAATTAATGAACAAACTATTAGTGCTTTCCCTAATTCTTGTCATGCCTATTCTTTTAATTCACTTTTCAATCTGAGTAAACACAAATATGAGATTTCCAAAGTCTTTTTCAGAAACGGGAAGTTTGAGGAAGTAGAGATTTGATCAACTATTATTTCATTTATTTACATTATTTGTCAATATTTTCTTTTCATAATACATACCTTTTTTCAGTAGGTGATAATGCCTAAAGCAGAGAGAAATATTAAATGAAAACTGAGTTAAGGTTTGGAAAATAAAAATACAAATATATCAGCCATTTTCTCAAGAGATTTCATTAGTTACCTTTTAAAAATGTTATTGAATATTTAAAAACATAATTAAGAACAAACAGAAAAACAAGAAAAGCAAAAAATAATTAGGAAAGAGATCTAGATGTCAGAGCAACACTGGTTTTATTCTATATACTGAAATATTATACAGAATGTCCATTTAAAACTTCAGAGCAATCAAGATAATATGCAATAATCATATAGTCTAAATTATAAGCAAAATGAAAGATTGTAATGATTTTTGCCTAATCAAAAATCTATACTTCACAAATAATAAAGAAATGTACAAGCTTAGGAAAGAAGAATTTTGGATGCAGTACAAACCCACAGGTGGAATTATAATTCAGGACTAGTTTCCAAGTTACACTGAATGCTTTATCCAATTTATTTTTCAAACACAAGGTTATTTTTGACATTGGTAAGCATTTCCACAATAAAATTTACCGTATTCTGCAGGACTGGTTCTATCTAATTACCAATAAAAAGCACAAAGTACCTTAGCAGCTGTCAATCTATACAAAGCCAGCGATATACTTTATAGAATACGTAGTATTCAACATTTAAAATGTGTTTCATTCTTTTATAAATCATTTTCTAAAACTGTTGGGCTTTAAAATACTGCCATTCGTGAAGAAAAAAAATGGTCTGATTTGATTATTACATTTCCAACAATTTTTTAGAGAAGGAATTCTCTATTTTAGGAATCACTACTGGAATAATTTACTACCAGTGCAGCAAGAATGCTTAAGTAAAGGACAATCTAAGATGAAACAAAACAATGAACCAAGCTGGTAGGCCAGGGGTAGGCAACCTTGGTTCTTTCATGAATCGTGGACTTCAACTCCTTGCTGGCTCAGGAATTCTAGGAGTTGAAGTCCACAAGTCATAAAAGAGCCAAGGTTGCCTATTCCTGTGGTAGGCCAATAAGAAACAGGCTGTCAATGTTCTGACTGTGGTCAGGTTCGTTGTAGAGTTGACACAGACTGTACAAACTATATTTCTGACCAGGGCAGGCAGGACAAACTGTCAGACATAAAAGCCAGTCACTCTTCTCTCTTCTGTTGAAGTATTGACAGTTTTATCTAGATTAGTAATTGTAAGAAGAAAACTTGCTCAAAGAACACCAATATCCAAGCAATATCTCCCAAATGGCCCAACATTTCAAAGTATAACATCTAACATACAAGTATTGAATATTATATAAATTTCCTTTAAATGTTACATTCATGCTAAATATGTCCTACCTGACGTCCAAGGGCAGGGAACACTTTTTGTCCTAATACAAAAAACAAACAAGCAGAATGTACTCTTATGTATATTTGTTCATCCTAAATTGAAATTCCAGGCTATCTGAATATTCTGCTTGGGCATTTATTTATTATACATCTGAGGTTTCCTCTGATTGAATGCAAACCCTGTGGTGTCAAGTTGTGCCATCGTAAGCGTGGGCCACAAACTGTTTCTGTTAGAAGGCAGAAATGGACAGTATCGTCTTCCGTTCAACCAGCCCATTGTGGATACAACCTTTGCCTATGTTTTCCTGTTTCAGATGGAAAATTTTGTTTTCTGGATTATCTAGTTCAAGCATTGTTTCCATTCACTTTGGAAACCACCTATACTTCAGCTGTTTGAAGAAAAAATGCCCCCTCCTCCTTTGCCCTCTTTGGCCCCAATAAGGTCCGCTGCAGCTTCAGGCACAAGTGGTGCCACTGGCGGTAGAAGCACTTGGCGCTATGACTCCTATGCAGGGAGAGGGGCTCCACCAGATCCCAGGAACGAGTGCAGGGTTAGGAACAGCTAAGACACTGTGCAGAACCCTCAAACTCCCAGGCCTCTGGTAGAAGACAGCTAGCTAGCTAGCTAGCTAGAGACAGACAGACAGACAGACACTGGCACCACTTTGGCATTTCCACCTCCTTTCTAGTTCCTCCCTCAGACCCTGATATTTTTCCAGTTTCTCCTACTCTTTCTCATGGCATCGTGGGCAAGACAAGAGAATCTGCATATATAGAGAGGTTTTTTTGGGGGGAGGGGAGAGTTATCTGTTCTGAACTTTCTAAATATTTTCTTCCTTTTATGTATTATTGTACAGATAGTCCTCAATTTACAACCATTCATTTAGTGACCATTCAAAGTTACAAAGGCACTGAAAAAAAGTGACTTACAATCAGTCCGCACTCATATGACTGTCACAGTGTCCCCAATCACATGACACAATTAGGGCGCTTTGGCCACCAGCATTCATTTATGCCAATTGTAGCATCTTGAGGTCATGTGATCACCATTTGTGACCTTCTCAGTTACTTTCCAACAAGTTAAAGGAGGGAACTGGACTCACTTAACGACTAGTGATTCACGTAACAACTGCAGTAATTCACTTAACATCTATGCCAAAAAGTCCATAAAATTGGGTAGGACTCACTTACCAACTGCCTTGTTAGCAACGGACCTTCTGGTCCCAATTGTGGTTGTAAGCTGAAGACTAGATGTATTAGATTTTTGTATTTGTCTTATCTGTTTAATCCTTAATAATATTTATGCTAAAAAAAAAACCAGTATCTTTAAGAGAAACAGCAGAGCACATTGAGGCAAAGCTGGGAACATTCAAGAAAGGAAAGTTTTATTTTAAAGGTGATAGTTGTGCTTTCATATATGTGCATTTTTACCTTTAACTTTGTAAATCTAGTAACTTTTATACATATATATCTACCTGGAGACATACATACATAACACACATGTAAGAATATATACAGTATATCCAGTTAGCACAATACTTAGAAGAGAAAATGATTGGCAGCTGCTCTCCTGGCATGGTAATTTAGGAGCCATAGCAGTGGGGGAACTTCCAGGGGACTTCGTAGCTGTCAGTCCAAACTGAACATCTGCTGAAGCCCCTCAATCTGGAAGTTCCTTAAGCCCAGGTGGCATCAACATGGGATAAGGAGCAGGTTAAGGTGCAGTGTGGTTATATAGATAGTCATGCTTAGATTAAATCACAAGAAACTTGCAGGCTTATTAGCCAGGAATTTTCGAGTACTTCCTACATTTGTTAAAGGTTATTCAGTCCATAGTATTGTCAAATACAGTATATGTATAATAAAACAAAATGGAATACAGATTAGACATGACTAGATTAAATTGCATTGAATTCATTGGGTCTTAGATAATCAATTCCAAAACTGACCTGTCTTTGATTAGGTGCCAAGTTGTGTCAACTCTTAGTGACCCATTTAGGTTGATTTGTTTGATTATTCATTTGTTTGCTATTCTTGCCTATTTGTGGCATTCTCAGGCAACTTCTCCAACAGATGCTGCTTTTTTAAATTCCAACTTTTGCTTCCATAGAGTGTCACAGGGAACACCATTGTTCTGATCTTTGTAGCTTTAGTCACATCGCTACATCTGAATACCCTTATCAGACTTATCTTTAGCCATATACAAATGCAGCCATGTGTTCAGAAACTTGTGGTGATTAAGTTAGAGTACTTCCTTCTTGTGCTCAACCACTCTTATTTTTTTAAAATATATTTTATTGATTTTTAATATAAACATCTTGATATTTTGTAAACAGCATATTGTCTGGGTTTATATTTACAAAGTAATCACTAATGGTTAGTTTCTATATTCCAAAATCCACATAATAACTTTGCTTGATTTTTTCTTCTTCCAATAATATTCTCTTTGCAACCTTAAATTAATACAATTCTTATTAATCTGATGGGTAACAATTAAATATAAAGATTTTTCTAAAAATTTTACCAATAATAATCTCATCAATATCATGCTTCTTTTCTATCTGGTCATCTTGGTTGCCTCATCAGAAATCCTGTTTACAATTCTTATTTAAATTTATTTTCCCTACAATGTTCAAAACATTTCTACTGGTTAAAATTTTCCCAGCATTAATTACCTTGAAGTATTTAAATCTATTTTCATATCTTAAAAGATAAGTAAGAAAAAGACACAAAAGAAAGACATAAAAAAAGAAAAGACATGAGAGAGAAAAAAAGAGGGAAAAAAAAGAAAAAAGGGGAAGAAAAAAGAAACTCTTGAACTGGTATAGACTTATTTCCAAATTCTTTCTGTTCTTTTTACCCATAATTAAACCTATGCTTAATCTTTAAATGTTCCATTTAATAAATCCAATCATCTAATCTTTAAACTCTATTCAAAACATTTTTCCCATTGTTAGTTATCCATTGGAATTTTCTTAAAATCAGTTACATTTAAATATCTAAAACATTTCCTTTATGTTAATCATCCCACACATTTATAGTTCTCACATTGAAAAACAAAAGAAAAAAGAGAGAGTACTTAGAGAGTTCATCCCTCTTAAACTAAAATCTTTCAATTTCTTCAGCCATATTCAAACAAGTGAAAATTCAGATTGCAGGCCCAGTGAGCTAATATGAACTATGTATGCATGCTTCTTGTCTAGAGTTTTCTTTAAATGCAAGTCTAGAGTTTTCTTTAAATGCAAGTCAAAATAGGAGGTTTAACTCAGGGTCAGTCAGTACTGCTCAAGTACTAGAAACCTGGTCTTCTGATCAAAATAGATCAAAAAAGCAAGACCATTCGCCATCTGCATTCAGAATCTAGTTGAAGCCCCTAATTTCAGAGAATTTGCCTTACCTCAAGTCTAGAGTTAGCTAAAATAAAAACTATGGCTGGAGTTTGGCCTGGACACTATTAATTAAGGTTAATCCTAGGCAAGTCAATACTTTTAAACTACTGTTAACCTAGCTAATAACAACAGAAGCATGATTACAAATCAATACCACTAAATCCATCCTTTATGTTGTCATAAGCTTTTCTTACTGTTTTTTTTTAGCAGGACAATACTTGTTATAAAAATGAGAAATACCAGTATAGACTCATATTCCTCTTCTGCTAGTTTATCTTCACATTTGGGGCTTTTGCATTATAGAAATATTTCTAGAGCAGAATATATAATGGAAAGTAGGCATCTACAAAGTCATATTTCTACAACAACACCGAAGCAAAATAATAATAATAAAAATCTCTCAAAAAGAAGTTCAATTTGACCTCTTTATAAAGTGCAGGAAGGCTAGTCCTGTTGGCAGAAGCTAATGCATAATATAAGTTTTTAAAAGCTAGTTGAGCATTGTTGTTGACATTTTTATATTATTCAGACATATTAGCACATCTCTTGAAGAACTCAACTTGTTTGTGCAAAATACACACATAGTCAGAGGTTTTAACACATCCGCTGTATTTCCTGACTAGTTTGAGTTGATAACAAAGCAATGAGGTAACTCAAGCAATATTTATTTGGTACAGTGTTTTTTAGAAGATAATAAAGTGACCCTGTGATAGAATGAAATCTTGTATTTTCCAATGACTTTACTATATATATCTACAAATTTTGTAATCAAAGTTTACCTTAGTAAAGTAACTTTACTATTTAGAATTATTTAGAATAAAGGATAGCAATATGAAATCTTTTGTAACTTCTTGGCCTTTTACTTATAGAAGCCACAAGTGAATAGTATAATTAATTTTGCTTTGGTTGATTGAAAACTGTTATATTTAATTATTAGGATGGCAAGTAAATTGGCTGCCCGCAGCACAGTTTAAACAATTCTACTTTATGTTAATCACAGAGAATGCCATCAATTTCACAGAGATGTGGACAGCTCCCTATGATTTAGAACATTAAATATCTAAAATATCTACAACATTCTGAAGAGCGGGTTCACAAAGTGCTAAATAAATCACCAATGCTCAGAAAATGACAATTAATCTAATAAAAATGTAGCCTCAATTTTTTTTAAAAAAAGTCTTCAATTTTAGTGCACTTCAATTGCTTTACCTGTGTATGATCCTGACAAACTGGAGGTTTAAAAGATTTTAATATTTCATAAATATGAGACACATTATATTACATCACAATAGTACAAACAATGTCACTGAAGTAGAGTGAGATAGTTAATCATACTATTGGCCTACTGGGTGCCTACTTGTTAAGAATGAATACTGAAGCTTTTGGTACAGTATATCCACCAACTTGGAACAACCTGCCTCGTGTGGGACAACCTGCCTCCAGAAGTGGTGAATGCTCCAACACTGGAAGTTTTTAAGAAGAGACTGGACAGCCATTTGTCTGAAATGGTATAGGGTTTCCTGCCTGAGCAGGAGGTTGGACTAGATGACCTATAAGGTCCCTTCCAACATTGTTGTTGTTGTTGTTGTTGTTATTATTATTATCTTGGGAAAATCTCAGCTAGTACTAGAGAAAGTACTAGCAACTAGAATCTGGACACACCTCCTTTAGGATGTCCATTTTATGCAGGATCTTCTAAACGAAGTTAAAGACTTTCTTTATAGCAAGCTATTCAACAAGTAATCTTTAACATGCTACTATAATCAATCAAGAATATGCTTTAATTCTTTTAGTAATTTCCTACCAATTAGTTTTGCATTTTGATTTTTAATGTTCCCTTTAATTGTAAGGACTTTTTAGAAAAATAAATATTTCTGTTCTTAGCTGCCTTTAACTCCAGTAGGAAAGAGGTAACATTAATGCTTTAAATTACACAAAATCAATGTTGCATTGTTCTTTCTTCCTGCTCTTAGCCATAGTCAGAATCATATTTCCTTGTTTCTCATTTCTTTTATATATTTAACATTCTTACCATACTTAGGAACGTGTCTCTACAACAGTGATAAAGGAATACTGACTGTGGAATCTCAGTACGTAATTGTAACAGAAAAGTCCTATGGCTAATTTTGGTTTAGTAGCCAATTATAAGGGTGCTACAGGATTAGGCAATTATGTTATATAAACTGTTTGGTGATGGTGATTTTAAAGCAACTACCATTTAGTACCACAACTGGTAATAATCTAATTTTAGATATGGCCTGCCCTACATCATGAGAATTAGGACTTTCTTCCAAAGAAGAATCTATTAAAGATCACGGAGGCCTTCACAGTTTAGATGGTATATTGCCTTAAGAAAGGCAGATTAGAAAATTCACTCCGAGGATGTTTGTAGAATTGTTTCACTAGAGGTTCACTCAGCAAGAAAATATGGCTAAAATTTCCAGACAGTCACGTTTCTCTTTGGAAGGAAAAGGACCATTTCACACAACTGTAGCTAATATGTAAGAACTAAGTTCATATATTTGTGCAGTTTGTGCTCCACATTCTGGCTATTTAAGGTAACTGCAAGGAAAGCTTTTTTTTTTTCCTCTGAGAGGCCAGTTTTTTACATGGGGGTTGCTACCTTGTGTGGCTTAACTACTGCTACTCCTTCCATTCCCTCCATCTCCATCCCCAGCCCACTGAATGTTAATCCACTATTGCTCCTCTTTCCCTATCAAAAATATTTTATAGTGTTTCAGTACAGAGGAATTAACAGACTTAAAGCATCTTGCCCTGCAGAAAGTTCCCATTAGATCAGTGATTTTCTCAGAGCAGAATCCTGATGCAACATGCTTGGATTGCTCTCTGCCACCTTCCATAAGAAGATCGCTGTTTGCTTTTCTGGAGCAGCATGTATCATTTGGCATTTGAACTTAAAATGATATTTAGTATTATGCCAAGCAGTGGCACTCACAGATCGTCCACTAAACTTTCTCCCAATGAGGGATAGGCATCAGGGCAAAACTATGCCAGGGAATCTTTAAGGAGCATGGCTTTTTAAGTTTAATCATTTTTGTTATTGCCACAAGTCAGTTTTCTAAATCCTAGTGAACTTGTATTCTGGTTGCTCCACCATGTATAATGTAAAGTGTGGGTAAGCATATACTATATGTATCAGCAGCCAGCTTTCTTGATCCATCAGTTGAACTTCTTTACTGTAATTAGGTTAAATGGAAGCTATTGTGATCCACCAATGACAATAAAGCTTATCTTGTCTTGTCTTGTCTTGCCTTGCCTTATCCCATCCCATCCCATCCCATCCCATCCCATCCCATCCCATCCCATCCCATCCCATCCTATCCTATCCTATCCTATCCTATCCTATCCTATCCTATCCTATCCTAAGAGGTTTGTCTTGGGTCATGAAATACTCGAGTTTGTTGCTACTAAATATTGCTTATTTTTGGTGGTCTTTTGGTTCCACTGCTTAACTGTACAAATTTACTTCAGAGTCAGATAATGAGATGAAGGAAACAATTCTGTACTATTTAGCATATCACTAAGAACATATGATATCATGCATAAACTATACTGTAATTAAAATGGCTAGAATTAAAAAATTAATATCCCTCAAATATATTCTTAATTCAATAACTGTTAAAATTAACATTATTTTGATTTTGAAAAATATTTGTTGTACAAAGTTTTTTTTTGTTTCCTCTTTTCTGTATGAAACTACAGTGGAATGTACAACTGTAGAAGTGGGGAGGGGAGAGTGCAATGGTGGGATTCAGCCAGTTCAAACCGGCAGAACCGATAGCTAATTTTTTGTTGCCCAGGCCCAGAATGGACTTCCGGAAGCGGCATCCAAACAGAGAACCGGTTGTTCACTTATTTGAATCTCATCACTGGGAGGTTGTGATTTGGCAATGTAAAACAGCCTGGAATAAGAGACTGCAGAGTGCTGAGCAAGATTCTATCCATCACTGTAGGTGTAAGAAAATAAAGGATTGGACTCAATTGGATCTTGCTGTATCATCTTTGGACTTGGGCCAGACAGAAACAAATTTGACTTAGTTTCAGAATACCTGATCTTACCAACATAAGTTGCAGAATGAGCTGATCGAGGCCGTATGCTACAAGTGATGTCTCGTGATCTTCCGGAACCCTGGAGACACAGAAATTGATGTTTATATTTCTTTAACAAATGTAGCAAAATGGACACTACAAGTGAAATAGCTATTTCTTCCCCACCATCTCCTGAATACTCCTTGCATTAAGCTACTGTGTGGAGAGGAGTGTGAAAGAAGAATTAGTAATAAATTTTAAGAAATAGTTTAATGCTTCATTATTGTGGTAGTATGGTGTCAACTACCACCAAAGAAACAATTATGCAGTCGTTTCTAGAAAAAACGTTCTCTGGAAAATTGTTGTTTGGTTGTAAATCCCTCATCTATTTTCTCCATAGGAACAGGGGACTTGAGATTATAGTAGTAGCCCAAACCATGACAAATATCTGGTTTATGTTTATCTGGCATCAGGTCTCAGTATCTGAATCAGCTGGAATCATGTGATAAGACAACTTTTATAGATTTTGTGCAGGAGTATAATTTCTTATAATTTGATTCTACTCCCACAGTCACTTTAGCAATAATTAATAGCTATTGGTAATAGTAACTGTTATCAGCTCTGCCTGGTATGGAAGGTGTTACCTTCTTTGGTAACTTCATTGTTGGATTTTGTAATGTGTTTTACAAACTGTGGTTGTAAGTTGAGGATTACCTGTATGAAGCTTTAAGTAGTTCAGAAACCTCTTCTCATCTAGGCACATCTGGTTATTGTATTCTGTTAAGGATGCTTTATTTACAATGCTATGATCTATTGATACTTATTTATCTGGGCTTCAGTCAGACGGCATTCTCTTTTATGATGTCCATTATGCAGAACAATCTTCCCTTTTAAATTAGAGTATCTCCCATAGGTAAAAATATTATGTTTCTTTGACCCTGTGGCAATGCTCTTACTGATGTGGGGTTTTTTTTTCTGTTTTGATGTTCATACCTCTTTTTAAGCCACTCAGTCACTTATTGAGTGGAAAGGAAGGAAGGGGAAGGAAGGAAGAAAGGAAGGAAGGAAGGAAGGAAGGAAGGAAGGAAGGAAGGAAGGAAAGGAAGGAAGGAAGGAAGGAAGGAAGGAAGGAAGGAAGGGGAAGGAAGGAAGGATTGAAATCCTATTTATTTCCTCATGCATTTTCCCGAATATTTCATGGTGGTTGTGGGAAGAGCTGAGGTACAGAAGGGCTAGTTTAATTTTAAAATAGAAGAGGTATTGTTTCAACATAATAGCAGATCCTGTCCTAGACATCTAAATTGAGAATGGGCAGTTGAGAGCTGTAAAATTATAATGTGAATTATAAATAAATAGGTAGCATGGAATGCATCCCATCCACAGTTTGGCTGAGTCCTATTTAGAAATACCTTAAAGTTGATTTGTTTGATGAACGAAATTCCATACACTACTGAAATATCATGTGTGGCCTCCAAATGCAACTCACATATTTCAGCATGTACTTAATCACTTGATTAACTTTTTAAAGACTTTGTAGATAATTTATGGTAGGCAAATAATGAAGGAGATGGAAAAGGGGAATAAGGGGAGATCAGAGGATAGTAAATTGTAGAACTATGGAGAAACTTCCTGACAGTTAGAACAATTAATCAGTGGAACAACCTGCCTCCAGAAGCGGTGAATGTTCCAACACTGGAAGTTTTTAAGAAGAGACTGGACAGCCACTTGTCTGAAATGATATAGGGTTTCCTGTCTGAGCAGGGGGTTGGACTAGATGACCTCCAAAGTCCCTTCCAACATCCTCCTCCTCATCATTATTATTATTATTATTATTATTATTATTATTATTATTATATAAGGGTGATCAGTAATTGGTCAGTTAAAAGAGCAAAAAAGAATAATAATTGCAAAAAGCATTTCCCTTATAAAAACCCAGATACTGTTTTTATTTATAGAACAGTAATTACCGTTGTTGCAGAAAAAGGTTTCCTATGTTTCGGCAACCGCTTCTTCTTGAGACCAACTTTTCCTCTTTTGCCTAGCTTCCTTGGCTTATGCTTCTTGAGCTCTTGTTTCTAAACATTTCATATAATATAATTATAGAAAGAATTGAATAATTATATTTTCCAAACATCTGCCCTTATAAACAAATACATTTATAACTGAGAGACAGTTGTAGGCATATAATACTTATTTTTAAATACAATATCAAATTTGGGGAAGGAAAATTACACATATAAATTTTTCTGTTCATTCAAACTTGGTAAGATTCAGAATTTTGACATCAACTCAAATATCAATTAATATAGACACATCAGAAAAAACCACAAAAAAATTAGTTTCTTTAGATGGAGACTTAATGAAACATTATTACAAAAAGAAACATTGTAAAAATAAGTTAAAGGAAATTCCCAGAAAACTATTAGACAACAAATTAAACTTTTACATCGGCAGTTCTTTATTTTAATGAGACAAACTGAAGTAAAATAATCTAAAAAAAAATTGAATGTAAAAATAAGCTAGGGAAAGGGTTGCTATATAAATTACAAAAATAAAAAGAAGTAAATGAAATTAAAATTAGAAGATAGAAACATTATAACAAAAAGGTAAATTCCTTCTAGAATAGTTCTAATAATGATTAGAAATAAGCCACGCAACAAAACCACTGTTATACTGCAGTTAGAAAATACACACTGGTCACCAGCAGATGGCAGCATTCGTGGGTGAACCCTTTTAAAATACTATAAACATGGGCAAAATTTTTGTAAATTTTCCTTTGAGAAAATTGGCCCCGAAAGATGTAAATCATAATATAATGACAGAACCAGAGTAGCTTTAGGGAAAATAAGAGAAAAAGCCATTCCATTATTATATTAGAAATTTGCATTTCTTCGTCCAGATTTAGGTGACATGATATCAGTGAACTGAGCAGTACAATCTTAATAGTCCATATTTATTTTGAGATACAAAAGAGCTGCTAATGCTAGAAAATGATGCAGCACTCCATCATCAGGTCTGGATTCTCGGGAGCATTCATTTTTGTTCAGGCTTGAACTGGGCTATTTTCTAAGAGCAAAATCCTCCAAAGGTCAAAGTATAAGTATTGGAAAAAAAATAAAGCTCAAAAACCCTCACTCTTTTCTGTATTTCAGTCAAGCTTGAGTATGTGACTTTTTCTTCAAAAATCATCTTCTCCTTAGGATACTAGGAAGTAAAATACATTTAAATAATTAACCACATTAAACAATAAACTGGGCATCAAAAAATCTAATTATTGCAAAATGAAATGAGTCACAGATGCTGTATTTGTATTGTGCTGTGGCCAATATCTATTTACATAACTCGACATCAACATTATTTTATTCTATATATGCAACTGTGCCCAATTCCATGATGGCATTAATTGACTTCTAATGATACAGCAAAAGAAAAAGAAAAAAGAATCCTGAATATTAAATTGCATGGGTTATACCAGAGGTCCCCAACCTTTTGGGCACCAGGGTCCGGTTCCGTGGAGAAAGGTTTTTCCGCGGACCGGAGAGTGCGTGGTTTTGTGTGCTGCTGCATCCCACGGATGGGGCTTTGCTTGTTTGTGCGGACCGGTTGCTGGCATGCCACGCCTAGTACCAGTCAATGGACCGGGGGTTGGGGACCCTGGGTTATACTGATAAAGAAATGGAATATATGCAACCTGGTAAGCCTTAGCTAAGGACTACAGAATACTAACCCCTCTGCAGTCTAACACAAACTAACTTTCTTAGTCCATGTAAACTCAACCTGTTCATAAGGATTGTTCTAGTGCCCTTCTGAAATGCAGGAGCCTACAAATGCTGTACTTCAGAGGTGTGCATATGATACAGCATAAGTGCTACATGAAGTAGTCTGTATGCATGATGGATCCTAGAGGCAAGATTTTGATCCGTATATGTATAGCTATGAATTTTATATATAAACTTCCTCAAGACATTAGTTTAAAAAAGTCTTCTCCAAAGACTTTTAGGGAGTGGGGCATGGGAAGCTTAATCTATCTTTCAAGAATTCACTTCCTGCTCAGTTAACACAATTATGAATATTTCTTCAGAACAATTTTTCAATTTAGTTCCGTTATCATTGCCTCTATCTAGGACAGTGGTGGCGAACCTATGGCACGGATGCCCAAGACGGCACTCAGAGCCCTCTCTGTGGGCACGCACGTCGTTGCCCCAGTCCTAGGCCTTCAGATGGGTTTTATAAAACCTTTTCGCTTTAGGCCTCCGCCGCCATGTGCAAAAAAAAAAAAAAAAAAAAGGTTCAATCAGTCAATTTCAACTTCTCGCAAAAAAAAGTCCTTGCAAAGTTGGAATTGATTGATTGAACTTTTTAATCCCACCCAGTCTGCCGTTACCACTGCAGCCATGCCCATCCAATTGGCCATACCCGTCCAATTGGCCATACACAAACAATGGGCCACACCCAAACAATGAGCCACACCCACTCAGCACTCGACAATGCATAAGTGGGTTTTGGGTTGCAGTTTGGGCACTCAGTCTCTAAAAGGTTTGCCATCACTGATCTAGGAAATCATAAAGCAAAAGCAATTTAAATATAACCAGCCTTTCCTGCATAGCAAGGATAGAATGATACAGTGAAACCTAATCAGAACAAAAACTACTTTGCTTGACCCTTCAATTATCCAGGTAATATTAACCATGGCATTTGAGGACTAATTAATTTATAGTGACATAAACATTGTTATGATTTACACAAAATATTACAGTAATGCTTCTGGGACACAAAAATATGTCATGATATACAACTAAGTGTTCTCCAGTTGTATTAAAATATGCCCCGATTAACTTTGGGAGTTTTAACCCAATGCATCTAGATGGCATTAGGAGAGAGAAGGCTGATACATCACAGCTATGTAGATTGCTACATAGTTATAAAGAAAGTAATCAGAAGGATCACATGTTGCTCTTTTCTTCTTGATTTACTTTCTTTCTGAGGCTTCTCTTTCTCCATTTGCCTTATCCCTGATGTAGGCTTTGTTTTTTTCTAATTATCTGAGTCTATACTCTGGAAACATTGTGGACCTCTTCTTTCTTACTCTGGTGAGTTGCCCAGTAAATACTGAATCTAATTTATTATTTCTTATCTGCGGGAAAATTAGTATTTGTACTAAGTTACTGAAAAATCATATTGGAAAAACGTTTAACAATAATATAACTTGATCAAAATTAAGAATGCTTATTTGTTACAGTGATGGTTACAGAAATGTTTTATTCCCCTATTAAAGGCAGTAGACTTTAAAGTAATTTTATATTAAGTAAGAGGATACCGTTTCTCTCCTGTGCGGTTTGTCTTTTCCAGGATACTTTTCCAACTTTCCTTCAAATATGTAAGAATCTAACCAAAAACAACCCCCCCCCCCAAAAAAAATATGTGAAAACTAATGTAATAATATTATTTGCATGTATCAAGTAATTTCCTAGAGGAAATTATTGTTACTTATTTTTCTATTGCTTTTGAACTGCAATCCACTGGTGCACATGCTATCATAGGCCACATCTGTCTGCCAATCCAGCTGGTTATTGTAATTTCTTGTTTGTAATTCATGGCCTGAAGTCAGGGGACATGGCAGCGACTCAGCTTCCTGATAGCAAGGTTAATACTGTACAAGGTTTGCCTTCCAAAAGGAAAAAAAACTTAGATAGGACAAATTTAGAAAATGCCGCATTCTGCCTACAATAAACCAAATAATCTTTTATATTGGAAGGAGAAACACTAAAACAAATATTTAAATATGTAACACATAATTTAAAAAAAGGCAAAGGCTATTCTGAATCTTACAATGGTATCCCTAGAAGCCCATTATTTACGAATGGTTAGTTCTTCAAACTAAGAAGAGTCAAACTGAATTCTAGTAACAGAATTGAATGAGAGCAGGAATGACAGCATCTGGTAACATGGAGGCAACAATATTGAGGTCAATGATTAAATGGAGTTCAGAAAAACAAGGAGCCAGTCCGCAGCTGATTCTGGAAGTTCCTGAAACTGGAAGTTCTGATAACGCAGAACTGATCATGCCATTGCTTCTGTTCGGGCAAGCTCTAGTTAAGGGCTTTTAATTATGAAGCATGAATCCAACTACTTAAGCCTGGCTTTTTCTTGCAGAATAGTCTGCAGTGTGCTTACATATACAGGGGTTTCAATTCTAGTGAGCTGGAGGATTTTTTTTTTTCATTTTTTTCTTGACTAAGCAGCATTCTAAATCTTCCCTTCCTTTTTTGGAGATTATTATGGAATGCTGACTGCTTTAGTGGGAGGGAAACGCTGCAGTATTCTGCTGCAGGTTCCACTTGTTATATATATTATATAACAAATATTATAAAGATATACGACATTACTTTGGTATGTTTCACTTAGAAGAACACCCCAATGAATTCCATCAGATTTATATCTTATAGCATTAGAATACATTCTTGCATTCTTTACTTTAACTCTATAAAGCAGAAACAAGGCTCCAATTTCAGAAGGAAATAAGTAATATTTGCCATCCAATCCAAAACTCATCTTTTTACATTTTCAGGAAAGAACAGATACATTGACACGCACCTGTTAACAGTTATGTGGCCACAAAGTCAACACTTACTCCCCAAACAATATCTATTACATTTAGAGATTTATTTCATGTAGATAATAGAAACTCACATGTACAAATATTTGGATCTGATTTTATCTTTTTATGCAAACAGTAAGACTGCTTTGGAATTATTTCTGGTTCTTTTGGAGATGTTTCTTCGCAAGTTTGCTCCTGCTGTGTGCTATTTAATGGCTCCTCTATGGATAACGCAGTCAAGTTATCAGTTGTCTTTAAAACAATAAAGCAGTATTAGATGTCACAAATTTAGCACAACACCTGCTGAAAGTGAAAGACGCAGAAATCTACCTTTTTTCTCATAACCTAAATACTGGCAATCCTGGGACTGTAACATAAACTTGATATTATAATATCCAGCTAATTATGTAGCAATTCCATTTTTTAGGTTTCCCAAATATATAAGAAAGAAAAGGAATAAAGAAGATATTTTGCTCTCAAGAAAATTGCCAGACAAAAGCATTAACCCAATTTTGCCTCCTTAGTGGAAATGAAACTCCAAAGCTTTGAGATTGTGGAGATAAGTCACCTTGTAGGTCAGATGGGCCACATAAAAATTTAATAAAATAAATAAATAAATATAAAATAAACTCAAAAAATTAGAATAAGAAAATAGTAAACAGAAAATGGAAAGGGGACTAGAAGAAAAAAAAGGGGAGAATGAATTGGGGAAAAAGATAAAAAGAAGAAACACTGGAAAAAAAGAGGAGCAAAAATTCCTATAAAGTGGTAAATAGGTTGAAAATCGAAGAATGAGAGTAAGAGAAGGAAAAGAAAGGAAAGAAAAGAATCGCACTGGAAGGAAACTCAGAATTGAAAATAGTTGTAGCTCATGATGCTAATTTGCAAAGAATTTCCTGCTTAGGATTCTGTCTTCTTGCTGACGGTTATAATGCTGCAGCAAATGGATCATTAGTTTGGGCCAGGGGTAGGCAACCTTGGCTCTTTTATGATTCGTGGACTTCAACTCCCAGAATTCCTGAGCCAGCAGGAATTTGCTCTCTTTCAGGATTTTCAGCTGAATTCCAGATAGCCACAGCCAGCATATTTGTAAACAAACACATGCTTGGTAAATGCCAAACTGCTTCCCACAAACAAATTTCAAGGAAACCAGCCCCAGGTAAGAGTTCTAGAAGTCGCTTCAGCTTGCACTCAGAAATAGAGTGCAAGTAAAAACATATACTGCTGCTTTGCAAAAATTGGGTTATTGCTCCAGGGTTTTTCTTTCTTGTTAGGTTTTTGTTGTTGTTTGCATCTTGCAGCAATTACAGAATATTTTCTTTCTATGGTCAAATGATCACAATGAAATCCTTTCTGAAAGAAACAAAGATTCTAAGCCCAATCTTTTGGTGTTATGTTGAAGCAATTATAGCCCATTCAGAAAGCCATTGGAGAGTAAAGTCTGATTTTTTACTGAAAGAAAGAACTGTGTGGCTATTTGATGACAGATTATTGATTAATACAGTCTGAGGGAAGGCAGATTAGTTCCACTGTATGCAATAAACTGTATTTAATTGACCAAAGGTTAAAGCCAGAAGAAATCCTTCAGACTTTTTAACAAAAGAGATGATACATAATTTTACCATGTGGTTCACACCACAAAAGACAGAGTTAACTATTCTATGATTCAGAAAAAAGAAGCAAGGATTTTGCACTTTACAAGGATAATAAAGGAATGGCAAGCAAATTTCAGAAGAGGATACATTTAAAAACGAGCCTTAATTAACTACAGAGATTGACTGCAGGATTCAGGTCACAACTGTTCCCAAATGCAAGTACTTTTACTAGTTACAGTGGCTGAAATTATGGAAAATGGAGAAATGATCTCATATTAAGTCCTGATGCAGCAATTTGTAAATTATAAGATCACTGAGTTGGAAAAAGACTGAATAATTGACAGTAGTCCATTCCTTATATCCATGAAATTGAGAGCAACATCAGAATAAGTATTTTTTTTTATTTCTAGATGTTGCTCAACTAGGACTCTCAACATTTCTTACCATTGATCAGTTAGGGTAGAAATTGTAATGTAGCCACATCCGATGGCCAAGGGCTGTCTAATCCAGGGATGGGAAACCTTGGCTCTTTTATGACTTGTGGACTTCAACATGCTGGCTCAGGAATTCTGGGAGTTGAAGTCCACGAGTCATAAAAGAGCCAAGGTTGCCTACCCCTGGTTTGGGCAAAGCAAGATCATAAGGAAAAGGCATTGATATTGTTCTTATCGTATGCTATTTGAGCATATTATTTGCTTTTTCTAATAAAAGATGTGATAACTGTCCTAGGATCCTGGCAAAATCACTGCTAGAATAATGGCATGTGAAGCTTCAGTGTCTTTTGATGATTTGGGAGCAACCTGTTTTCCACACAGGTATGAACCATCCAGAAGAATAGAAGAGATTCTGCTCATGCTTAACAACAGCTGATATTTAAAAAAAACAAACAAAAACCATAAAGAGCAATCTGAAAGGAGAATGCACACAAATATTCAGCTGCAGCTTATTTGCTTAAAAGAATTGCTCCTGTAATATTTTAACATTAACCCTACAAATTATCATAAAAACCTGCTCTTCCTGCTGCGTAGTTGTCTCAAGTGACTCTTCAATAAAAGATGGAGATGGAGAAACACCAAACAATGGCATTTCCAACATAGCTGGTGCTGCAGGTTTGGGCTCAGGCTTATATTTCATATCTTTGGTCACAATAATTTCATACACTGAGGAAATAAAGCAAATTATCTTATCTGTTGAAACTTCACATTTATTCTCTGTCATTTAAATCAGAAATCTGTGGCTGAAAGGCAAGCTTTACTAGTTTAAACTGAAACTGAATGTTCCTTAACTAAAGTAAATTGTTAACATTTGTTTGATTCCATTCTCTCTTTCTCTATTTGCAATAGTGCTGAATTATCTCCTCTAATGTTATATGTAAAGGCAGGTACTATATAGTATTTCTGCTCCATATCTCTTAAAATAGCAGCTGCTTCAATGTCCAGCTTAGACGTTTGCTTTCCATCTGTGCTATGTAAAAGGAATTGTATGAAATCTATGAATATTGTTCAGCTCCTGATTTGGAATGCAGTATACTAATTTATATAGTTTCAACCATTTATTTAACAAAACTTGGAGCTTCTGGTTAATATGCAGAAATATTTTGCTTTTGCTAGTCCTGTTTAATTTCCAAAGCAAGCAATACTGAAGTCATCCTTTTACAATTAGAAAAAATAACTTTTTTTTAGATCTACTACAATATTTGTTGCGACTCTGAATCAATGAATTGGGAACCACATTTCAATGCTAAGTAGATAAATTGTTGGGCACATCTTTCCACTTGTATAGAGGAGGAGACTATAAAGTGGAAACAAGCTGGAGCAAAAGGAGGAATAGAAAGAAGGACAAATAAATGAGATTAAGAAAACAAAGCACATATAAATTAAGTTGAAATGTACAATTGATTTTTCCTTTTGTGTTGCATCAGGGCATTTCATGAGCAATTGTTTAATCATAAATAATAAATAAATAGTTCCCAATTTTTCTCCATCATTCAGCTTTTAGTGCACACCAATTAAACTAAGTGGAGATATTATTAAGCTAGAAAAAGTATGCTTGTTGGTCTGGGATAGGTTTTCATCAGACAGAAAATGTATGCCTTTCGAACAAACTACACTCATCTCAGAAATGTATTAATTCTCAAAAACATTACTCTTAGCTTTATCTTGTTCTTCTAAGTCATGAGTTCCACCTTGGAGAAGGAAATCAAACATTTTTAAAGATGCCTCTGAGGTACAAGGAGACAAGTATATCATTGAGGGAGCTAGTGGTAACTGTGAGGATCTCTAAGAGATGAGAAAAAAGATATAACCATAATTGTAATATGCTAAAAATGAAATTTATTTTATTGATTATAAATTTTATACAAATAAATTTGGAAATATCTTACACCAGGGCTTTTCAACCAGTGGTACATTGGCACCTGGCAGGTGGTACACGACCATCCTAGAAAAGTGGTAGCGGGGGAGAGGAATGAGCTGAACCAATGGCAGCACTGCACAAGCCTGAGCGAGAGATGGCTGGAACTGCAGGGCTGTCAGGGCTCAGCAGAAGTGCCAGGATCAGCACCAGGCTTCAGATGGAGGTCGGCGCTGATCCTGGTGCTTCTGCTGAGCCCAGAAGAAGTGCTGATCAGCTGGAATGCTGCAGCATCTCCAGGGTCTTGTGATTTACATTCAAATGCTTGGCAACTGATTCATATTTATGACAGTCACAGTGTCTCAGGGTCATATGAAGTGACCCAGACCTGCTGCAACCACCCAGCAGACAGGGGGAATAAAAACTAAACATCCCTACCCCACCCCCGCTGCCAATCCTCAACAGAAATGCTCACAACAATGAAAACCTCGGACAGGAGGAAGAGCGCCACCAGGTGGGCAGGCAGGTGTCTTGCTTGGCTGTGGCTTGGGGGGCACTTTTTCACTGCCACTGTAACTTCAAACAGTCACTAAGTGAACTGTTGTAAGTCGAGGACTATCTGTACTTTATCACTTTTTCCTTTTTGGGGGGGGGTCATCAAGTTTTTTGACACCTTGCTAAGTGACTGATGGTACTCGGATATTGCCATATCCTAAAAGTGGTACAATGGGTGAAAAGGTTGAAAAGCCCTGTCTTACACTATTTGCAGGACCCTTTAAATACTACAGAAACTATGATTTGACTGACTAAATGATACATTAGCAATTGTTATCAGAAAGGTGGGCTATCTTAAGTATTTTCTTTTTCCTTTTCCTGCTATATTCATCACAAAAAAATCATGACAAAGCAGTGTGACCTTTAACTCTCAACTCTATTAAAGTTGTGCTTCACTGATTAACAATGAAATATTTAACAACTCCAATATTATATATTACTTTGTATCCCACCCTTCCTTCTAAACTCCATTTATAGATTTATTTATTTTCAGAACAGCTTTATTGAGGTAAAGAAAAGCCACCTAATGAGACGAATGAGAAAGTAGATATTACTTAGAAGACACCCTCCAAAAAACTCCTTTTTATCTTCAATAAATAATAAGAAATAGCTGTTAAAATACGAAAGAACTTTGTTTCCTTTCCATTATACTCTTAAGAAGTTTATTCAATTAAACCAAACTTCATTGGTTTGACACCATCATTAATTCATCCATTCACGGTTTTATTCATTAAATCACACTAGCCAAATCTTGTAGAGACTGGATAGAAGTACATTTTTCTTTATAATATAGGCCTTTTGTATTCTTACCTTTCCTTTCTTCTCTGGCAAAACCTGCAAATCTGATGTAAAATCTTCAGTGAAGGCATAGCCCTTATAAGGCACCTAACCAAAAGAAAACAAACAAACAAACAAACAAAAACAGTAAATGTATCCATGGCATTATAACTTTTAATACTATAATATATGATATTTATGTTAGAAAGTTTTATACTTAAAATTTACAATGCTGTCTTGTATATTTTACCTCCTTATTAATAAAAGGAGGCTTATGCTAAGGCGAGTAAAGAACTGAAATCTCGGTGAATTAAGTGGTTTGTACTGTAGGAAAAGTGAAATATGATCCTAATGAGAAATCAAAGCTAAGCATCTACTGAATTCTCAATATTTAAAAAAAACACAGAAAACATCATGTAAGAACATGCTTATACACATAATACAGAAAAAATGTTTTTGTTAATACCATATTCTAAACTTACATTTTAAAGAAATCCTACAACTAGAATTTCCCCCTTGGTGTTATTATGCTAAAGTACCGTATATCTAACAGAGGGTGGCAGGCTGTGCATCTAATATTAAATACTGCTTAGTTTACTGGTCTATGTCTTTAATACTCAGTGTGTTTTCAAGTCCTCAGCTGATTAAAGTAATATCAAAAGAGTACCTACCAGATATGAAGCCATCTCAACTGATTTAGGGACATCCATTTTGTATTGATAATCTAAAAGCTGGCTTTCAAAAATATAGGATTCTAGAAAGGAGATCACAATGGTGACACATATATTGTAACACTACATGATAGTCATCAGGGAACTTTTCTCTTTTCAGAATATCATGTATGTCTTGTACTCATTACTGATATTCTTCTACACTTTGCTCAAACGAATAGCAAACACAATTTGTTTTTCTTGAATTCATATCCTGACAAACTTGATGTCATTTTGAGTTCTTGAAGACATACGTTGCATGTAAAAAAGCCTTTAAAAAGTTCAGTTTCTTATATTCAATAGTATGAATCACTTTCCCCTTCCTTTGTTGAATTTAACCAGAAGCATGGGCATGAGCAGGTAACAAAATAGATGCCATGGTATAAACACCACAACTTAGGATGTGCAATGATACTGGGATACAAAAATCTAAAAGTGGGATTTCCATCATAACATCACCATATGAATGTCATCATTTTGATGTAATCTTGGTTTGCTGCAGCTGCTCATGACCAGGAGTTACTATTTCAATTAACTTCACTATTCACAGCTCATATAATAAAGATACGCAAATGTGTCACGAATCTTACTTATGAAAGAAACTATCATTTCTCCTAATAATAATTATTGTGTCCCTTGCTAAGGAAAAAGTGGAATGGCAATATTATATTTTTGATGGGTAGCATTAAGCAGGAATCACTTGGAAACATTCCTTATAAAGAAATAACTAGTTTGTGAGTTTTGGTACCTATAAATTTTGCCAACTGGGATTTTCACAGCAGACAACTTGCATGGATAAACTAGTGTGCACTCAAAAAATGGAAATAATAATGCAGCCAGGTAATTGGGGGTCCTCTGGACTTGCAGGTACTGCTTGAAGAGATCTTGAAGAGACTTCAAAAAGATCATTCATATCCTTGTCTCTTCACAATTGTGATGTGTTCTACATTGGGCTATCCTTGAGGACCATTTCAAAGCAACAGCTGGTTCAAAATGCAGCAGTGTGGACAGTAATGGATGTTTCTCATTACGCCCATGTCTTAACATTGCTTTGCAAACTGCATTGGTTACCAGTTGGCTTCAAGATATAATTCAAGATGCAGGTCAAAATCAATAAAGCCTTTCATGGCATGGGGCCTGGTTATTTGAGGGACTACCTGTCTTCATTTATTTCTTCCCATCCACTACAATCAGGGAGAGTAAGTATGTGCAGGTCCTTCAATTAAATGTCATCTTGCAGACTCTCTGTTGAGGCGTTGCCCTCTGAAATAGCTCCCCCACTTCTCCCAGAAATATGTACAGTTTACATACTTGAGTCACATGGATATGGTTCAAAGTGAGGTGAAGAGGTATCCTTGGAAATAGGCTATATATAATAATTTCCATGTTCAGTAGGTATGCACAAACATTATTCATCTGTTTTTAATTCCCCTTCCATATAATTATTTTTAGTTCATGTTTTTGTAAATTTCCCAACATTTGCTGATACCTTCCCTTTTTGTGCAAATGCTTTGGCTATCTGAGAATCCACATGCACACAATGAATTCTCTATTAACACATAGAACAACTTGACACAAAGAGGCTGCAGCATTACAAGGTCTTAAATTCCATTAAATATAGTAGCGTCTGCATCTGAATTAAAAGAGTTGGGGTAGACTGATATAAAAACTCAGCTAATATCATAATTAAGATTACCTGCTTCTGAAACTTTGGGAGTTTGAATACTAGTTCTCAGAATGTGCAACATTTTACTGTGATATAAGATATAAATATCATTTTTGAAAGCCAGTAAAATATCACCAGAATTATTGAGGAAACAGGCTGTGCTTAAAGTATTATCAAGTGCAATCTCAGCCATTAGGTCTTTGTGAAGATTCCACAGTTTTATCGTAGCATCTGAACTAGAAAATAAAAGAAATAATCATCATACAGAATTTAATTTATTTTTATGCAAATGCTTAAGTTCAAGATCCACATACTGCTAGAATACATAGGAAGCAAATTGTATAGACATTTTTGCTTCAATTTAGCTTGTACAGTAGCCAAATTTCATCCCAAAATTATATTTAAAAAGGGACTAGATCAATACCTTAGATGAACAAAGAAAAATACTTCCTCTTCAAAATAGACAATATCAGATGCATTTTTTATTTTATTAAATAATTTTCAGATAAATTTATTAAGATTACTAATTTTGTTTACATTTCTACATTCAGTTCACATTTTCAGATATAATGCATTAAATGTATATAAACAAAAGGCATTTACAGATAATTTTGATGTGCAATCTTTCTGTCTCAATCATATAGCCCCAAATGAATGAATTTGGTGGTCTGTACAGAGCATTTCAGTTAAAATAAATAGATGAACATTTAAGGTGATAGCATTTTTGTACTTGTTATCCCTTGCCTACTTAAATGAAAAGCACAGAAAATTCTAAAACTGCAAATTTTGTAAAGAAGAATGGAGTTATAGTAAAAGGATATTCCAATACTTGCTAAGAGAAAAAAAAATCAAGTATAGTCCTTTTTAGGAGATTCCTGACTTGTCTTACTGACAAATTTATTATTCAGATAATGGAGAAAACAGAAGAGAATCGGTTATATTTGCTTTGATTCTAATCAATAGGGAAGACATGAGGAAGTTTCTGTTATGAAACATTCTGTTCTGTTATAAGTTGAAAAACCAGGGACACGGGGATAAAAGATTATCATGCAATATAAAAGTCTCGCTTGTAACATAAGCTAAAATTGAAAGTAGACAAATACTGTATGTATCCCAGATTTCAAAACAATGTATTTTAAATCAGTGGTACTTAAATCAGTGGTAAAATCCTTAGCAGAAGTAACTTAACAGAAAAGATTCTCAGCTGGATGGGAATTCCTAAAGTAGGGGATAGTAAAAATACAACTAATTCCATCTAATTCCTATGAGGAGAGAAAAAAAATAAAGATTCAGAAGCAGCATTACTGTACACACAAAACTTATTGAGGGTCTAGAAACAAAACAAAAACAGCTACAAGAAATGGAAAGAGAGTCAGGACACAAAGAAACAACATAAACAGAGGAACAGAGAGAAGGGAAATGGTCTTTCACTGAGGAAACTAAGACTCTGCCTAAATTCCTCAGTGTAACATGAGACAATTCCAGCTTATTTCATTGGAAGAGCTGTGGTAGTGCAATGGTTAGAATGCAGTATTGCAAGCTAACTCTGTTCACTGCCAGGAATTCGATTCTGACTAGCTCAAGGTTGATTAGCCTTCCATCTTTCTTCAAAAAAGAGGAAAAAAATGGATCCAGGAAACTACAGACCTATCAGCCTGACCTCAATACCTGGGAAGATTCTGGAAAAGATAATCAAGCAACGAATCAGCGAACACCTAGAGGCAAACATAGTCATTACCCAAAGCCAACATGGGTTTGTCAAAAACAGATTATGCCAGACAAATCTTACTGCATTCTTTGACCAAGTGACAAAATTAGTGGATCAGAGGAATGCCGTGGATTTAATTTATTTAGACTTCAGAAGGCATTTGATAAAGTAGACCACAACCTACTGTTTGATAAGATAGAAAAATGTGGGCTAGACAACATCACCACCAGGCTGACTGGGTGGTCCCCAATGGAACTGCGTCTACATGGAGGGAAGTGTATAGTGGGGTGCCCCAGGGCTCTGTTCTGGGCCCAATGCTCTTCAACATCTTCATCAATGATTTGGACGAGGGGATAGATGGGGAAATCATCAAATTTGCAGACGACACCAAGCTGGCAGGAATAGCCAACACTCCAGAAGAAGGCTTAGGATACAGGAGGATCTAGACAGACTTGAACACTGGGCGCTATCTAACAAGATGAAATTCAATGGTGAAAAAAGTAAGGTTCTACATTTAGGCAAGAAAAACCAAATGTACAGGTATAGTATAGGGGGTACCTTGCTCAATAGTAGTAACTCTGAGAGGGACCTCGAAGTCCTAGTGGACAATCACTTAAATATGAGCCAGCAGTGTGCTACAGCTGCCAAAAAGGCCAACACAGTGCTAGGCTGCATTAACAGAGGGATAGAATCAAGATCACGTGAAGTATTAATACCACTCTACAATGCCTTGGTAAGGCCAGACTTGGAATACTGCATCCAGTTTTGGTCACCACGATGCAAAAAAGATGTTGAGACTCTAGAAAGAGTACAGAGAAGCGCAACAAAGATAATTAGGGGACTGGAGGCTAAAACATATAAGGAACAGTTGCTGGAATTGGGTATGTCTAGTTTAACGAAGAGAAGGACGAGGGGGAGACATGATAGCAGTGTTCCAATATCTCAGGGGCTGCCACAAAGAAGAGGGAGTCAAGCTATTCTCCAAAGCGCCTGAAGGCAGGACAAGAAGTCATGGGTGGAAACTAACCAAAGAGAGAGGCAACCTAGAACTAAGGAGAAACTTCCTGACAGTTAGAACAATTAACCAGTGGAACAACCTGAAGCGGTGAATGCTCCAACAGTGGAAGTTTTTAAGAAGAGACTGGACTGGGATAGGGTTTCCTGCCTTAGCAGAGGGTTGGAATAGATGACCTCCAAGGTCCCTTCCAACTTTATGTTATTATTATTAATCATCCTCATTATTATTATCATTATTATTTCATTACTTTATGACCTTATTTTGTAGAAGGGCAACACTGATTTATTTACCTACCCACAACTCAGAAAGACAGAAAGATTCTTGCAGGAATCTACTGCTATCACAGGACCCTCATGATAGGTTGCTGGAAGATTTTTTTCTTCTATTTTCTCTTGAAGAAGGAACATGAATATCAGTTCTGAATTATGCTACGTAATTTCAGAGTTCAAATACATCTTTCAATTTTGAATTATTTTAATACTATCTACAGGATTATGTCTTTTTCTCTGCCTCACTGAGTCTATAGATTTGCTAATTGTGGTATGGCTAATACTACAAAATATAGTATGACTAAAATTAACAAAGGGAGTATCCTGCAGGGGAAAAAAAAAACAATTCACACTCTTTAATATACTGTAAGACACAGGGTTTTTTTTCCCAACCACTTCAATT